TGGTTGAGGTTATTGCTGCCAAAGGAGGGTCAACCAGTTATTAAGTCCAAAGGTTCACATACTTTTTCCTCCCTGCACTGTGAATGTTTACATGTTATGTGCAATTAAACCATGGCAACATCTAATGTTTGTGTAGTATTATGTTCAGCAGACTGTGTTCTTCTATTGTTGTGACTTAGATGACGTTCAGAGCACATTTTATGCCCAATTCATGCAAAACTCCACATAATCCCAAGGGGTTCACATACTTTTTCTTGCAACTGTAGGCATTTATTGAGTTGACTTCAGGGGCTTTGGTAAAAAAACACCAAAAGCTCACATTTAGGAGCAGCAGTGTACATGAGGCCTTACTGTTTGTAGCTAATGCTACTAGAGTAAGTTAAAGCGGAGCTCCACCCAAAAGGGGACGTTCCACTTTAAGGAATACTCCCCCGCTCTCCATTAAGGATTGGCACCTTTGGGGGGCAGGGGGGAGAGCGGGTACCGGAATTTGACAGGTACCCGCTCCCACTTCCGATCCGATCGCCCTCCCTGTAGTCTTTTGGGACATGTGACAGGTCCCAGAAGACTACAGGACCATTCATGAAACGCAGCTCTTCTCGCGCATGCGCAGTGGGTACCCAGCTGTGAAGCCGCAAGCTGCACAACCGGGTGCCCACACTGAAGATGCTGGCCTCCTGGAATACAGGACGGCCGGTGAAACGGGCTGCAGGGGACACACCATGGGACAGGTAAGTGGCTGTTTTTTAAAAGTCAGCAGCTACAGTTTTTGTAGCTGCTGACTTTTATTTTTTGACAGGGTGAGTGGAACTCTGCTTTAAAGTGCATACAGCACAGTTGTAACACAGTTAACTAATGTGCATGGTGTAGTATACACCCCAATCCCATTAAAAATAAAATAAACTTCAGGTGTAAGTGCAGATGCAAATATTGAGTATCTTGCAATGAAAAGCATGAATGGACCTAATCCATACTCCATACCATGCAATAATTTACTATTTCATTTTTATATTAAAGTGGTAATAAACCAAACTAAAAATGTAATATCACAGTTTACCAGTCATTAGATGTGGTGACTGCATTTGTTTTCTTTTTATCGCTTTATCCCTGTGTTTTCACCAGGTGATCTGGGTAGTAACACACCTCCTGTATTAGAGTGCCCCCACTCTGTATGAGGGAGCACAGCAGACAGCAGCATTGTCAGTCGGGAGGTTAGATGTACTAGAAGATTTAGATACATTAACAAATTGAAGCCAAACTTCAGCCATTTTATAAACAGTCAAAGCAACAGTTTTTTTTCCTTTTGGGATAAGGGTTTTACACAAATAAAAGCTATTTTTTGTAAGCACCCATCAGTGTTAAATTATTTTGTCTCTAACTACGAAATCTGCAAAAGAGCTTGTTCTTTTAAAAACCAACAGACTTACTGGCTGGATCACCAGGTGAAAGAGAGCCTAAGAAGGAAACAAATGCAGACATGACTTCTAACAATTGATAAGCTGCAATATAATAAATGTTTGCTTTTGGGTTTAAAGTGGAACTATAGGCAAAACTTTTTTTTTATTTTAGGTAGAGTAAGTGAGGGTTATAACCCCTGTCTCTCTTCACTGGGGACAACAGAATATTTGGGATTTTCTTTTACTTTCACTTTCAATGGACAAATAGAGAGGGTGAATCTTGGTAATGGGGACACAGACAGCAATAAAGGCTTACAGGCATTCTGCTCTGTCCAAAATTGCCTTTAGCTATATTTTAATTCCACTTTAACTATCCAACCTTCTGACATATAGAGAGACAGAAAATAGCATGGCCAGTGCATTACATTTTTTCATTGCTGAAACAAAGAAAAAAAATGGTGTATTGTGGCCACATTATTAGATTGCCTTCACCAAAGAGGGTTATATAGCAGTAGCACACACAAGACGCAGTAAATTAGTACTGAATCTAAGGCTGTGCCTATAAATTATACTTTTGCTGTGTCCTCCTGGTCTGTCACTCTCCCTCTTTCTGACCTTTTCTGTCTGCTATTTGGCTTTTCACCTAAACAGTACCTGGGGTCTTTGAATGCTAGTCACTGTACTCCTCCAAGGCTTTTCTTAGGTCATGGATTCTGATGACATTTGCATGCAAGGCAGCAAAAGGGAGACCATGGTCTATCATCAAGAAGCAGATCCCCAGTGTATTTTTAGTGCATTGTCCAGCAGTTATCGAAATATGTAACTTTTGCTGCAATACACAACTCCTCTGCAGCAGTACCCTATAGGCACTCTTGCTGGCTAGCTTCTTCTAGGTTGAATGGCAACAATCTATTTGCGCCCAGTTACATGGGATTACATGAGCCACCCTTCTTAGCTTCTTCCCCATTTTCTTCTATCCTAGTTGTTTTCAGGACAGTTAGTGTGGTCCCTTTAAGAACCCCTGTCAATTTAGCTGGCTTGTGTCCTTGATCTGGAGTGTTTTGTGGCTGAACCTCTCCCTAGGAGGGCTCTTGCTCACTGACAGTTAAGCCCATACAACATAATTGCTGGAGTAATTCCCCTGCCCAGGTGGCCCAGGAGACCCAGGAGCAAACCAAAGCCTCTCATTGACATGAACAGTATTATTGTAAACAAAAGTACAGCAATCAGGCCTATGCCAAAAATATAAAATGATACCAACATTGCATTTTGAATGCCAACAATGGAGTCATGTGTTTCTATAATTTTGCTTGTGTTATATATTTCATGGTATAAGTGTTGCTTGCAATTCCATAGGAGCAGATCAGCACAGCCCTGTAGTTTAGGCCTAGTGTAATGTTGACCATAGACATGAGAGGATCATTGCCCAATATGGCCAGTTTTAGTCAGATTGGGTCATACTCTAATATTCTTGAGGACCAGTAGAACCCTTCAGCCAATTAATGTCAAAGAAAATAGCAATTAGACATGACAAACATTTCCAAATGCTTTTTTCTGAGGCCGAAACAACTAATCAACAATCGATGATGGATAGTTGGTCAGATGATTAGTTGGCCTGTACAAAGAATGCATTATCTGTTTACATATCAGGAAATAGGCTGCAGCAGATATACAGCTCAGTACACTGTCCATACATGTCAGTAAATGCCTGAGAACTTGTGAATGTGAGAGGAGCAATGCATCATGGGACATGTAGTCTTGGGCAGAAGATGGAAGTGATTTTAGGTCATTCTAAAGGCAGAAGTTTTCTTACCTTGCTGTAGGTGCACTCTATACTATACTTTGCAGATTGCTATGGGGGCATTCTGAAGGCTGGAGGAGCACTGTAGGGGACCCCAGAAAAGGAGAATCAGGGCTGCTCTGTGCAAAGTCATTACACAGAGCAGGTAAGTATGACAAGTTTGTTATTGGTTGTAAAAGCAGGTTTTTTAACCTTCATGCATAGAATGCATGAAGGTAAAAAAAAAAAGTTCTGCGTGCTGCTCCCCCCACAGCCCCCATAATACTCACTTGGACCCCATCTCGATCCAACGAGAGCCTCGGCTGTACTGGCAAATGGGGGCCCTTATGGATGCATAGAGCCGGGCTCCAGAGCAAGCACACACCAGTGCCCCACCCATAGCAAACGGCTTGCTATTGGGGGCACTAGTCAAGGGCGAGGAGATAGGAGTGCCGGCAGGGGACCTGAGAAGAAGAGGATCGGGGCTGCTCTGTGTGAAACCACTGCACAGAGCAGGTACGTATGACATGGTTACTATTTTTTTTAAAGCTAAACCTTAATACCATTTTAGGGCTCTGTCCAGGGAAGATTAACATGTGAACCCAGAGAAGCTGGAGGGACATAAACTGGAGGTAAATTAAAGCATAACAGTTAAATTTAAAGGATAAGTTCACCTTTTAGCAAAAAATAATCAAATTCACATTATTCTTGCAGGTAAAAAAATGTGCATTTATTATTTTTTGTTTTGGATCCTCCAAAGCATTGCACCAGCAATCTGTTGATCACTGGTGCCATGCAGGTCTCCCCCTGACCTGTCAGTATGTCTACTTGCTTCTACACCCCGTATGAGCAAGAAAATACTACTTACAGGAAGTCTCAATTAACTACCACTGCGCTCGCAAAGACTGCCGGAACTTAGTTAGTAGTTTTCCCATTCACAGAATACTGTGAATGAGTGACACGGTCAGGCGGAGCCCCACACGGCCACGTCTTTTTTTAATATGACAGCAAACAAGGGGTGGGAAGATCACCCGCTAGCTGTCACAACAGGGTGCAAGGGGGAGCAGGGGCCGGTCTGATCATAACTGAATATGGGTGTAACATGTTATGAAAGGTGAACTTATCCTTTAAAGTTTACCAGTATTGTGCATTATATTTAAAATGATCATATCCATGCAAAAAAGTCTCACACTTTAGCACTACTTTAACCACTTGCCTACAGAGCACTTATACCCCCTTCCTGCCAAGGACAATTTTCAGCTTTCAGTGCTGTCACATTGTGAATGACAATTTCGCAGTCATGCAACACGGATGGAGCTTGCGAAGTACTGCAAAGAAGAATTTGCGAAATTGTCTATAAATATGTGTGCCAAGCTTGTAGCATCATACTCAAAACGACTTGAGGCTGTAATTCGTGCTAAAGGTGCTTCAACAAAGTATTGAGCAAAGGCTGTGAATACTTATGTACATGTGGTTTTTTTTCTGTTTTTTTTTTTTTTATTTGTAATAAATTGCAAAGATTTCAAAACAAACTTCTTTCATATTGTCATTATGGGATATTGTTTGTAGAATGTTGAGGGAAAAAAAAGAATTGAATCCATTTTGGAATAAGGCTGTGACATAACAAAATGTGGCAAAAGTTAAACGCCATGAATACTGTCTGGATGCATTGTATATATTACTTTTACTGTATAAAAAAACCCCTTTATAGTAGTGATTATCCACTGTTTTTGTACTATAAAGGGCTAATCTTTGTTTTTTTAACCCCATCATGACAGGCGATACAAAAAGCAAGCTGTTGCTACCAGGGGCGGACTGACAACTCATGGGGCCCCTGTGTCCTTGCCCAAACTCAAAAAAGCCTATGAAAAAAGGTACTAGGGGCATCTTATGGTGCCCCCTACTGACCCAGGGCCCTCGGGCAGTGCCCGAGTTTTCAAATGGTCAGTCCGCCCCTGGTTGCTACTAAATGTCTTAGTGACAGCAGGGCACAGGTAGCTGGTATTAAGCTGCCTGTCTATGAGAAGGGACTCTGTCATGCATAGTATTATATTACAATCCTGTCCTAAAATCTGCAAAACAAAATCTGAGTCTGATGACATGTACCAGATTCAACCTCTAATAGTACACTGCTCAAAAAAATTAAAGGAACACGTTGAAAACACATTCTCAATGGAGAAAAATATCATGCTGGATATCTATACAGTTATGGACTGGGTAATGTCTTAGGAACATAAGGATGCCCCATTGTTTGATCCAAATGAAAATGATCAACCTACAGAGGACTGAATTCAAAGACACCCTTAAAGTCAAAGTGAAAAGATGATGCAGCAGGCCAGTCCATTTTGCTGAAATTTCATTGCACCAACTCAAGGCATCACTGAGCTCCTGGACAGTTGGAGGTGCAACCTCTCCATCGGATGGACCAAAACATGATATCCCAGAGGTGGGTCCAAGGATTTCATCCCAATACCTCATGGCAGTCAGGGTGCCATTGTCTAGCCTGTAGAGGTTTGTGCATCCCTCCATGGATATGCCTCCCATGACCATCATTGGCCCAACACCAAAACGGTCATGTTAAACGATATTACAGCAGCATAACATTCTCCACGGTTCCTCCAGACCCTTTTTTGTCTGTCACATGTGCTCAGGGTGAACCTGCTCTCATCTGTGAAAAGGACAGGGCACAATGGGCAGACCTACCAATTCTGGTGTTCACTGGCAAATGCAAATCAAGCTCTATGGTGCCAGGCAGTAAGCACAGGGCCCACTAGAGGACATCGGGCCCTCAGACCACCCTCCTGAAGCCTGTTTCTGACTGTTTGGTCAGAGACATTCATACCAGTGGCCTGCTGGAAGGTCATTTTGTAGGGTTCTAGCAGTGCTCATCCTGATCCTCCTTGCACAAAGGAGCAAATACCGGTCCTGCTGATGGGTCAAGGACCTTATACGACCCTGTCCAGCTCTCCTAGAGTAACTGGCTGTCTCCTGGAATCTCCTCCATGCTCTTGAGACTGTGCTGGGAGACACAGCAAACCTTCTGGCAATGACACGTATTAATGTGCCATCTTGGAGGAGTTGGACTGCCTGTGCAACCTCTGTAGGGTCCAAGTATCGGCTCATGCTACCAGTAGTGACACTAACCCTAGCCATATGCAAAACTCGTGAAAAGACTAGTCAGAAAAGATGAGTAGGGAAACAAAATTCAGTGGCCTCCACCTGTAAAACTGTTACTGTTTTTGGGGTCATCTCATTGTTGCCCATCTAGTGCACCTGTTAATTTCATTAACACCAAAGCAGCTAAAACTGATTAACAACCCCCTCTGCTACTTAACTAACCAGATCAATATCCCAGGAGTTTAATTGACTTGATGCTATACTCTGATTAAAAAGAGTTGCTTTAATTTTTTTTAGCAGCAGTGTATATACATCACTTCTGTCTGGTAGTCTCAGAGTAGATCTGATATTTTGTTCCCTAACCATATACAGGCAGTCTCCAAATTCCATACATCCAAATCATACTTACAAACGGAGGGAGACAACAGGAAGTATGAGGAAGTCTACTCCTAAGAAGGGAAATTCACACCTATAAGAGTTATCATGGGAAAAAGGTGTCTCCACTGAAGCTATCACCAATACTTGTTTCCATGGCAACCCAAAATTTTCAAAAAACCAATTGTCATAGGGACAGAAAGTTAGGTGAAATCTTCTGAACAGTGGCACAGACAGCAAACCCCCCCCCCCCCCAAAAAAAAATAACATTATAGCTGTGTTAAACCTTCCCTTTGCTATCCAAAAAACATAACCATTTTTTTTGGCTAAAGCTGCATTAAAAAAATTTACCTGTTCCAACTTGCACACAAATTCAACTTGTTAGTAACCTAGGGACTGCCTGGAGATGGTTATTTATATTTACCACTGCTTATAAATATTAAAGAATAAATTGTCTTTTTTTTAAACATCATTAACCACTTGCCTACCAGGCACTTATACCCCCTTATTTACCAGGCCAATTTTCAGCTTTCAGCGCTGCCGCACTTTGATTGACAATTGCGCGGTCATGCAACATTGTACCCATATGAAATTTTGATCATTTTTTTCTCACAAATAGAGATTTCTTTTGGTGGTATTTAATCGCCACTGGGTGCTTTACTTTTTGCGCTATAAATTAAAAAAGTGCAAAAAATTTGAAAAAAAAAAAAAAGTTTCTTTGTTTCTATTATAAAATTTTTCAAACAGGTAATTTTTCTCCTTCACTGATGTGCGTTGATGAGGCAGCACTGATGGGCACTGATAGGCGGCACTGATGGGCACTGATAGGCAGCACTAAAGGGCACTGATAGGCAGTACTAATGAGGTGGCACGGATAGGCGGCACTGATAGGCAGCACTAATGAGGTGTCACGGATAGGCAGCACTAATATGCAGCACTGATAGGTGACACTGATGATGGGTACTGATAGACGGCACTGACTGGCATCACTGCTGGGCACTGACTGGCAGCACTGACTGGCACAAACCGCTGGGCACTGACTGGTGGCACTGACTGGCGGCACTGCTGGGCTGCACTGGTGGGTGGCACTGGTGGGCAGCACTGGTGGGTGGGCACGGGTGGGCACAGGTGGGTGGGCACAGGTGGGTGGCACTGCTGGGCACAGGTAGGTGGCACTTCTGGGCACAGGTGTGTGACACTGCAGAGTGGCACAGGTGGGTGCACTGCTGGGCACAGGTGGGCGGAGCTAGTGGGCGCACTGCTGGGCAGAGGTGGGCGGAACTTGCGGGTGGCACTGCTGGGCACCGATCATCAGGGCACTGATGATCAGTGCCCTGATGATCGGTGCCGATCCCCGCTCTGACAACTGCCGGTTCTCGGCAGTACTTTCCTCACGATCTGACAGCGTGAGGAAAGTGCAGCCGAGAACCGGCACTTGCATTTCCCTGTGATCAGCGTGTCATTGGACACCGCTGATCACGTGGTAAAAGGCCGGTATGATTGGCCTTTTACCACATCACGTGATCAGCTGTGTCCGTAGGACACAGCGATCACGGAAATCGCCGGGTGCGCGCCCCCTGGGGCGCGCAGGAGAGCGCGTTCTGGGGGGACGTCATATGACGTCCACCCAGAACTGGCCGGCCGCAGTGCAGCCGTCATTCGGCTATCTGCGGTCGGCAACTAGTTAACTAAATTATACACCGCACTTTTTTTTTCTATTTTTATCCGATTAATCAAAACAATCAGCCAACTAATCAATTATGAAAACAATAGTTGCAGCCCTACTATTTTCCTTCCAAGATGACACCAAAGAGATACCTAGGAGTGCTTTTTTTTTTTTTTTTTTTTTAATGGTAAGTCTTATGAGCAGGGCCCTCCTGACTTTGTCTTGTGTTTTTTTGTAACTGTACTGTCTACCTTTATATTGTAAACTATTGCATAACCAGTTGGTGTTGTATAATTCCTAGATAATACTTCACCTTCCCTTTTAAATAAGCAGGCACACATGGTCATGTTTCAGTAAATCAAGCATGCATGTTTATGGAAAAGAAATGAGCAAGAACAAAAATTGTCTTCTATAGTCTATGTCCAACTAAACCTAATAATGCTTCAGAATTACAATGGCCATTTGGCGGCTGGCAAAATCCTTCACCGTTCCAGGTGGACGCCATATGGCGTTCTCCCGGGCACGCGCAGTTTGCGCGCCTGCAGAGCCACGCAGCGGCGCGATCTGTCACCGGCCGTGTACCTTGAACACGATCGATGACAGATCTGAGTACTGGCCCCGTTGCCGGTACCATGTGACCAATCACAGCAGGTCACATGACAGTTGTATACAAAAGATGGCTTCATTCATGCTATCCATCGTATACTAGTGTCTAGCTGTGAATGGTCACAGCTAATCACATGCACGTCATGTGATTAGCTCTGGACAAATCACAGCTAAGCACAAAAAAAAAAAAAAAAAAAAAACCCTGAATGAATCGATGTCATTCAGGTAAATGCTTGCTTATAGCAAAGTAATTCTTTGCTATAAGCAAATTGTGTAAAAAAAAAAAAAAAAAATACTGATCACTTCCCCAAAGTAGTACAATGTTTGGTCATAGTGAAATATGAAAACAAATCTTAAAAAAAGAAAAATGTAATAAAAAAAGAAAAAAATTATATATATATATTTTTTTCATACTGTCACGTCAGTGTCCCTGATCACCGCAATGTCGGTTATATGATGACGCTGTACTGCACTGGTGACAGTATGTAAAAAAAAAAAATAAAAAAAATTGTGAAAATAATTTTTTTAACTTTTTCATTTTCCAAAAAATGACAAAAAAAAATACGTCAAAAAACTTACCATGCCTCTTATGAAATACGTCGGACTGTCTACTTTGCAAAAAGTGGTCATTTGGGAGATATCTGTACTGTTCTGACATTCTTGGACCTCAAGAAATTAGATTGGCTGTCAGTACTTCAGAACTGATCAATTTTCAGATCTATACCATAGTTTGTGAACTCTATAACTTTCCTACAAACTAAATAATACATCCTAATTTGGGTTATTTTCACCAAAGACATGTAGCAGAATACATCTTGGCCTAAATTTATGAAGAACAATTATTTATTTGCAAACGTTTATAACAGAAACAAAGAAAAACATGTTTTTTTTCAAAATTTTTGGTCTTTTTTTGTAAATTCAGCAAAAAAATAAAAACCGCAGTGGTGATTAAAGAGCACCAAAAGAAATCTCTAGTTGTGTGAAGAAAATTATAAAATTTTAGTTTGGGTACAATGTTGTATGACCGCGCAATTGTCATTCAAAGTGTGAGAGCGCTGAAACCTGAAAAATGGCCTGGGCAGGAAGGGGGTAAAAGTGCCCGGTACTGAAATGGTTAAAGACTGTAAGCCTTTTCAATACTGTTATGCATTTGTCCTTTGTTATAAAATGTGTGGCAGATTCTGCAAAACGTAATTAGCCCTTTGGAATGCAGTCCGGGGAATTTCTAAGACAGGTAAACACCAGAAAAGTGAATAGGCTGGTTCACCTGTGAGCTTACATCTGGGGAGGTTTTTTATTTTCTCTTGGTAATCATTTGTACAATACACAAAACTTCTGCAAATGTTTAATGTGATATTTTAAATACAAACTATAATAAAATCAATCTATACAAATTTAACATACAAAGAAAAGATGATGTCATAAAAGCAGCATGAATTAAATATTGACTAACAGAATTATTTGCTTGAAGAATACTCGTTTTATTATGTAACTAAAGCACAACATTATGTTGTATATAAAAGCTTTCAACTTTTTCTGTTTTAGTCAGCTAGGATTTTCTACAATTTGTAGAAAAAAAAAAATTATATATATCTATTTTTTCTTTAAACTTATTTTATGCAATGAAAAAATAGATTGCAGTTTGTCAGTGGGACTTGCAATAATTTTTTACCCCATTTACTGTAGTTGACTTTTACCAGAGAATGATGCCAAACTACATGAATACCTGGCAATGTATTTAGTGTACTGCATGTCTTCAACCTCTCACATACGGAGTTCTTTTCCTTTCAACCCAGCAGGCTGAACAAAAAAAACAAAAACTGGGGGACAGCTGTACACATGGTCTGAATGTCGGCTGGTTCTTGCTGAACTAGCCGATATTAGGACTGTGTGTACCCAGCTTTAGTCTAGGTTCACACCTAAGCGTTTTGCGGTGCATTTTGCAGAAACGCACTACAGCCCATTTAACATGATTTTCTATAGGACACGTTCACCCGAAGCATTTTTTGGAAAGGGTTAAACGCAAAACGCTGCATTTTGGTTCAATAGACATCAACGGAGACAATGCAGAAATTCATGTAATGTGTTTTGATGCATTTTAATCTGCCCAGCAACAAGTTGGAAATAAAATGCAAAATGTGTCAAAAACGCATGAGCAAAAAAAAAATGCAAAAAACGGATCAAACGCAAACTGCCCAGGTGTGAACCTAGCCTTAGAGAACTAAGTGGACTACCATTGGTGACCTTGCTTTTTTTTTTCAAATACTAGTTTTCTGGCTCACATGTAGATTCTTAGTATGCGTTCTGAGTCAGTGACCCATACAAGATCAGGCACTTTGATTTCACTAGCTGCATGCTTGTTTCAGTTTAGTAACTCAGAAAGTATAAGTTAAAATACATCAAAAATATGTATCTAATAAATTATGGCTTACAGATATATAAAACCACTTCCAGGGTTTCATTCTCTATGGTATAAACCTGTTTAGTATGTAATCTTTATTTTACAATCTGTGTCTAGGATTTATGTGGTATTAATTTTTATATAATTGTTCAAATTTATTTAATATATTTATATATAGAATATTTTAGAATACATTTTAGTGCATTTCCTTAACTTTTTTTATTAGTGTAAGTTTGGTTCATTGCATTTGTGTACAAACTGAGTATTAGTACCAAACGGCAACTTTCTTGGTAATTGTGCCTAATAAATTCCATGACTGGATTCATTAGCAAATAGACAGTAGCTGTGACAGTGTGGTGAATTTGACATTTGTGACATTATCAAGGAACCCCAAGGGCTGAGTATGTGACTATAGTAAAGACCAAACCTTTCACTTGAGCATGGGACTCACTCCCATTTTTAAAGAATAAGTTCACCTTTGTGAAAAAAAATAATAAATGCACATTTTTTTTTGAAGATTTTTTTTCGTTTACTAGGAACCTGCTAACATTGCACCAGTGATCAGCAGATCACACGTGCAATGCAGGACACCTGCAGACTGTCAGTGTAAGCTGTCCGCTTCTATCTCGTATGTGCAGGCAGTTACTGAATGACAGGAAGCATCAATGAACTACCTAGAGTGCTCATCAGCGCCCTGGTAGTTCATTGAGAACTACAAGCTGACAGCCTCGAAGGCTGTTGGTACTTGTAATTCTCCCATTCACAGAACTCTGTAAATGAATGATGTGGCTGCTTTTTTTTTTTTTCTTTCTTAAATTTTGACACCAGGTGCGGGGAGAGGATCCCCGGCTTGCTGTCACAACAGGGAATCGGGGTGGGGGGCTTGCTGCAACAGTAATATGTTACACCCAAAATACAGATGTAACATGTTACAAAAAGGTGAACTTATCCTTTAAGCCAGTAAGCCCAGTGATGTCACATGAGGAGTCCATATCATCAGGAAAGGTGAGTGTATATACTACTGAGGAAGTGTATTTACACAACTACAAGGTTGAATTCCTGTTAAGAAAACATAGGCCATTGCCTATGGCAATAGGGCTGCAAGGGTTGGCACACATCTTCCCACATGTTTTTGATGGTTAGTAACATTCTCATGTATTAAAAAACAAACAAACAAAAAAAAAAAAGGTTCTGCACTGATACTCTTCCTCCCAGGGTGTTCTAGGTGGTATTAATTTCTATTGCTTTGGCACATTTAGTACACTTTTTTAAAGTGTATTTGTGTACTACTTACTCCTCATCCACTCTGGCACCTAGGACAAAATGGTAGCATATTAAAGGTTTGCTCTGCCTTTCGCTGGTTCTAGGTGTGCAGAGTGGGCAAGCTGTCTTTTTCAGGGCCAGTTCACACCATAAATCGCATAGCACATGCAATCCGACGCAGTGCGATTTCAGCCCTTTCATTTGAATTGGTTGAAATTGCGCTAGACACAGCAAAAGTAGCTCATGCACTACTTTACAAAATGCAGAGCAACTGGATCGCATGGTACCATGTGATCTGGTGCAGGCAAACCCACTGCAGGAAATGGGCACAGAATGTGGGTTTCCAACACCAGGTTCTGGTGTGAACTGGCCCTCAGTCTCTGCCCCCCCAAGTCTTGTGTAACTATGATTGTGATACAAAGGACAGAAAATAAACCGTTGAAAAAGCAGGACACAAGACAGCTGACTTTGGGGACTGAAAGTGTACAGTACATATGGCCAATTACAAAGAAGCTTGATGGAGCCTGCACAACAGGGTTTCATCATTCTCAGCATGTGTTCATTGATGATGATGTGTTCATTTAATATCTCCAATGAAGTTTTCTCTGTAACCATACTTGGGCTACTTAGATAGTTTGACTGTATACCACATTTTAAGCTTAGTTCTGTGCAATGTCTGTCTCTTCAGTTGACCATCACCAGCTCAAGCACTGGGGTCTATTAAATAACATTTTCATGTATGTGAACACAAATGACTGACACCACTCACATCTGGAGACAAATGTTAAATGTCAACTTTTTTTTAGCAAATAAAACTGCAATTAATATTTATTTATCGATCCACAGGATAATTATTCTTTCTACATTAGACAGATATATCAGTTTCGTGTTAAGAACAAAAATGAGAAAAAACTGCACTGTTGTAATTAACATTTTTTTGCTAACAAACAGGAAACTGAATCATAAAATAAATCTGTTGTATAAAAAGATAGAAAAAAATTATATTTATTTTAAATTTTACCGCAAATAAAATATCCCCTGTATAAAACATAAACAAAGCTTTCTTTGGGAGAGATTAGTAATATCTTTTTTTTGTAATTTGCATAATAATTCTTTTAAAATGCTCAAGAAGATATACAACTCTGAATAGATCTACATTGTAAAGATCTATTGTACCTTGATTTGAGCAGGTTAGTAAAAAAGGCTCTTTTAATAAATTACAATCATTATTAGAACTACTATATTTTACTCTGAACAGAACCTTCACTGTTGTAGCAGGCTATTGCCTTAAAGGGTCGGTACTCCTAAAATGAGTGTTTCAGTCTAATGTAGATGCTGGAGAATTAAACCGCCCAACTGTTTTGTATCCATTCTTTGGAGACACTAGTGGCAATAAGCTCTTTATTTGCTGGTCTGCACACTGGCTACAGTGGCCATGAGGAGGTCCCAAGCTCCATGTTACATTTTTTATTTATTTTATAGTATAAGAATATGACAGCAGCTAAAAGTGGATGAGGAAACCCATAGTCTAAGGCGGACACATATTCATATATTATGCAATCTTTTAACTAAACCAAAGGAGATCTGGAATTTGCATGTCACATCCAAGTATCATGGGTGTTCGAAAGTGAAAATTCTGTAGCGTTGGTCAGAGAAATGTTCAAGTATGTCAGACAAATTCTGTAGTTGGAGTACGGTGCACATGAAATAATTTTTTAATTGCATAAGCAATCTAATACAAAGAATTATGTTTTTCAACATATTATTGTTTAAGTAAAAATCTTGGTTGTTGGAGATCTTCCAACATTACTGGCAAAAGATCTGTGTATGGCCAACACTATGTATACTTTGAAAAGCAAATTAACTTTCAAAGTAAGCCTCCAATTAAAACTAAAACTTCTTAAACCATTGACTACCTAATTCTTGCTGCCCAGCTGCCAGTTCTTAATTGAAGTTACATCATTTTTGCATTAAGCAAAAGACCTACGAGGTAAGAGAATTTTTCTTTTCTACAACTGCCTGGTGTTTTTCTTTTTTTAATAATCACCAACCAAGGCTTTCTTAGAAGAGCTGATATTTTTATAAAGTACAACATTCTAGTCCCTCTTATATTAATCTTTAACTGTATAGGAAAAACATATTATAACAAAGACCTGAATTAAGTAAATCTTTTCAACATCTCAAAAACATTTCTCAGTATGATAATATATTCTCAAGTCAGAATTGTACCGTTTTAGGGTACACAGTTAAGTTCTTTAATTTACCCATATGCCTGTTCAGCCATTTACAACAAGTAATTTTAATTCGCTGCCTGATAGTGTTTCCAATATGTTTAAATTCCTATGTATCAATGTGGATACTTGCCTTTTCCTCAAAGAAAAGGGAATGTTCCTTTAACTGTACATATTTTGAAAAAAAAAAAAGTTCAACAGTAGACAGTTTGACTGGGGTGAGGAGGAAAACTTGCAGTGCTATTGGCAGCTTGAAATTAGTTGCGTAAATCGGCAGATCTCATAGTGCCTGGGAGCAGTTTATAGCCACCATAATTATAAAAAAAATGTAGGTAAAATGTGCAATCTGTCTGCCAAAAGGTCATAGTTGTAGTCATGAACAGACCTTTGTGTCTGTAAGGTGCTCTTAAATCTTTTGGAGAACATGCAAATATACCGAAATCTTGTTATACTGAATACAAGCTAAGCCTGGGTATGCCTAACATAAGGCTGTGTAAATTGTGGCCCCCAAACAATTTATAGGAGTACAATAAATGGCCACTTGCCTTCTGTTAAGTGCTGATTTTGTAAGGTGCACAAGCAGATTGCAAATTGGCTACAACTGTAATATAAAATATACATATTTACAATATAGATTTTTTTTAAAGAAACAAGACAAGTCATTCCTGCCATATCACACTTCCCAGTCCACACTAAGGCCTGTGTTGTGTTGAATCTGTATTGGTCCTGTTTTACACTCGTCCTTGCAGACCTTTTTTGGTAGACCCTTATCTGAGAAAAATCTTCGTAGGTATCCATGGCAGCTTTCCACACTGACTGGTTTTGATTAAATCAAAGCGGCATGTTAAGGGCAGAAAATGCGAAATTAATAAGATGACAAAACTCTTTTTTTTTCTTCTCTCCCGGAAAATAAAAATAAAAAAATACAAACAAGTCCTTCTAAAAAGTCTTAAGGCTTGATTGAGTGATATCTGATGTTTTCTTAATAACCGTGGCTCTGGTTTCATGGTCTTTACGGGTGATGTTCAGTGTTGAAGAACTGGCTGTCTGTAAAATGGGGTTTGGTTCTGGAAACATGGGCCAGTTGCTGTTGTAGGGCATAGGGAACTTCTCCTCCTTTATGGTAACCTGGAGATCTGGCTTGTTAGACGTTACAAAGGTCTGCATGCCCGGGAGGTTATAAAGTGCTCTTGGGCTGGCAGTCCGTACACACTCTCTGTTTTCACTGGTCCTTTGATTTTGCAATCGGCTCTGGAATCAAATAAGAAGAACTATATGAAGCTGTGTTATTTTCCCAAATACCATGTATCGTCAGAAAGTGATATCATGAAATAGAAACTAAAATCTTATTTAAATGGTTTTAAATGCTTAAACATTTTCAAAACTATGTTTTATGTTTTTCACTATAGGCATACAGGGCATCATACATGACAAAGGATTACCAGAGTGCAGAAGTTAATAAAGATGTTAACATGTTAGCTTTTGTGAGAGCATATCAGGAACCTTTTAGCTTGCTTTGCCTGACTTCGTGTTTGCTCAACTGCCCAGAGCAGTGCCAGCACAAAACAAAGCAAAAGTCCTTGATCCCTATGTGGGCAGTTAACAATACTGCATTTCAGAACGTTCTTTCAGTACAGTGGGTTGTGATACAAACTACCACATCAAAACACAGAACTTAAAATGTTATGAAAGTCAAATTTTTTTTATTTAATTAAAATAACAAACATGTTATTCTCATCCGCTCCGTGCAATGGTATTGCACAGAGCGGCCCCGATCCTCCTCTTTACGGGTCCCCTGCTGGTGATCCTGGCTCCTCCTCTTCTTTATGTGTCCCCAAAGCAAACAACTGCTATGGGGGCACATGGTGTCCGCTAGCTCCCGAGCTGTGTGTCTATGGAGCCGCAGTCCATAGATACACACTGCAGGACTTGGCCCTGCCTCCCTACTGAATTTGAATGGCACGCCTGCTGCTGTTAAAGTTCTGTATGAAAAGGGGAGAAGAAATGCAACCGTGCACAGCACTGGATCTCTTCGTCCCTCTCTTCCTCTTCACACAGGGAAGGGGGAAGACATACAAATAAAAAAACTTTTTTTTTTTTACCTTAATGCAAGGAATGCATTAAGGTAGAAAATGGTTTTTAACTTTAGTATCACTTTATTAAAATGTTTTGAGTGACATTTCATTAAAGTTCTAACAACAAAAAATTAAAAAAAAAAAATAAAAGGAACAGTGTAGTGCACCGGAATCAGCGCATCAGCATGGTTTACTCCCAGAGCAAACAGGTGGCTGTGTGATCAGTGTGGCTTGCTGGTGTGAACAAGACATCATATAGAACATCCAAAAAATGAACATCCAGAGTACTCAAAAAAGGACAAGTAGCTCAAATGACTAAATCCCTTGTGTGTGTACATTTCAGCTCAAACTGTTGGGAATGCTAAAAATACATGGTCATTCTGCAGTTGTATTGACTTACACCACTCATTGGCTCTAATGCCTTTGTTAACTTTTTACATGCTACTCACCCTGAGCAGAGCTAAATTCTGGGGAAAAGTTCTGCCAGGAAAAAGACCAGCAGACAGGCACGGCGCTGGATCAATACAGGACTAAGGTAAGTATTTGGGGGAGGGGAAGGGCACAGCAAATGGCAAGACTTTTATTTACCTTAATGCATGGAATGCATTAGGGTAAAAAAATGTTTTACCTTTAGAACCACTTTAAGGCTGGATTCAAATAAGAACTAAATGCGAGGAGCATTCAGTGCCTGTGTTCTCGGGGCTGTACCAGGGGCGGACTGACCATTTGGAAACTCGGGCACTGCCCGAGGGCCAGGGGTCAGTAGGTGGCCCCATGAGATGCCCCTGGTACCTTTTTCATAGGCTTTTTTGAGTTTGGGCAAGGACACAGGGGCCCCATGATCCCCTATTGCCCGGGGGTCCCATGAGTTGTCAGTCCGCCCCTGGGCTGTACAAATATATATTTGGCAGACCCTGGTAGAAAAAGCAATGTAACATACAAGTGGCTAAAGGCCAAACTGCACTAAATTATGTACTGCAAACTGCATATCTACCACACTGTAGTCCATATGCATGTGTGTGAACTGGGGCACTTAGAAAAGCAAAGAACCGCTTGCCAAGCATTTTCCTGGGAATCTAACTGAATTTGACTGTCACTTTAAGCAAGCTGTTAGTAGATGTCGCATGTCAGTGAGATTTAGCAATGCTTGAAGAACAGCCTGATGAAGCAGGCTTATTTAAAGTAACACCTTCTATTAACAATTGTGCTTCAATTAGAATTCCTAGTATGAACATTTTATACAGTTAAATTGGTCCACCTTGCACCAATGTAGTTAGGTATACAGTATGAACAAACATAACCCCTACTCCACGCTCTTATAAATGACACTAATGATTCATTAACCAATAAACGTGTCTTACTGCTGCTGCATTAAACAAACTCCAAACAGCAAAAAGTGAATATGTGATAGAAATAAAAATTACATGCGCGCTGTAATTTTATTTCTAATTTAAATAATTAAATCCTCTGTCCCAAATACAATATGATAAAATATCATAATAAATATAAGGGAAAAAAATTATAAACATGTTACAACCAAGTACTCAGCGAAGTCATGTAACAAAGTATTAGTGTGCAAAAAAAATCATTTCTCCAGTGAAAAATGTTCACAACTTCAGTCCAATTTTAAAGTGCTTCATGAAGCGCGCACACACTTTCCTATCATGTGAAAACCAGTGTTGCAGAGTCCTCCAGTTCTCAAAAGACAGATTCGCCAGCTTGAAATGCGTCTCTTATTACAGATTGGCATAACGTGCTCCTACACACAGCTGCTAGAGGCTGTAGATTCCACCTCATCAAAGATGATTTCCTCTTTTCTTCGCTCAGCACAATGTGGCCAATCCCTAGATTAGTGTTTCTCAACTTTTTTCAAGTCAAGGCACCCTTTAATGTTATGCACATCTCGAGTCACCCCATTCTAAAATGTATAAAAACTAAACTAATAGTTTTACATAATAAAGCAACTTCTACTCATATAGCTCATCCAATGTTAGAGGTGATTTGTTCTTCCAAAGCAAATACACCTTTGCACACTGGTACTGACTAGTATTCCAATGTTTCTGTTCTTCCTCAGTTTCTTCTCCTCCCTCAGCTAATGTGACCCCAGTGCAGATGGAGAAGGACAGGAGAGGGGCAAACAAGGATGCATCTGATATCCCTCTTATCAAATGATGGGGTCATTGATGGTTAGGCTGGTGACTACAACTCCTTATCAATATGATGGGGTCACTTGATGGTTAGGCTGGTGGACTACAACCCTTGGCAAAACATACTGAATCATCACTCTTGGAAAATGTTCATTCAACTGTTTTTAATTGTGTAGAAAAAAAAAAAACTAATCACAGACATGCCTCAAAACTATTTTCATGCAACATTCCAACCTTCTGCTTTAACCTCCCTAGTGGTATGATTATGTCCATATTTCTGTGCTCAAAGCGGTACATTTTTTTGCATGGAAATATGTTGTTTTTATTGTAGGCCTGTCATTTTTAGAAATAACTCACTGAAATCTGTCCGAACAAGAGTCTAGTAAACATCCCGGGTATAATAAAACTTGAAACACGAATTATAAATTATAATATACTAAATCATAAAAAATAATATAATAATAATAATAAATTTAATTCAATAATATAATCAAACCAAAAACAGTGAAATTTGAAATAGAGCGCCAAGTTCGCACATCACTGAGCTTAGTCGCAGAATCGTTTTCAGTGTCTGATTACAAATTTCCCCACGAATCATTATTACTCAATTCTGCAAGTGGTTCTGATTTACTATCTCTGTATTCTAGCTGGTCTAAAACAGCTTTTGACCTAAAGGGACGCTTTTTGGACGCCATGGACTTTTCTAAGTTTCCAGGCAGAAAGAACGGTAAAAATGCAGGCAGGGCACAGGACAAAGCACTAGGGACAAAATGTATGTGAAATGGTTTGATACAGTAATGTTATACTATGTGATTTTAGTGTATTTTGTGAATGTCAGTTTTTAAAATTTTCAAATCTCCTGCCGGTTCTGGCCCCCATACATCCTGACGCTCGCAGGGACTGGAACACGTAAACCAGATGCCTGCACTGGCCGGAGAAGATGGCTGGGAACGCTGCAGGGGACACATCGCGAGAGCGCAGGACAAGGTAAGTGCTGCAGGGAATCCCTGAGCAACGCTGCATGGTAATCCTGAGTGTAGCTCGGGGTTACCACTTGTGCTACTGAAACTTTACCCCGAGCTACACTCGGGAATAACGCCAGGGAGGTTAAGAAACACTTAAAAATAAAGAAAAAAAAAAAAACTAGTCAGTTGCAACTGTTTTGAAGATCAAGCAGAGGAAAAAATATAGAATCACTCAATTCTGAGAAAAATATTACGGAATCATGAAAAAAGAAACCACTACAGTACACCACTAGTACTTTATTGCACCACCTCTGGCTTTTATAACAGCTTGAATTCTCTGAGGCATGGATTTAACTATCCACAAACAGTATTTTTCATCAATCGAGCTCCAACTTTCTCTTATTGCAGTTACCACATTAGCTTTGCAGGTTGGAGCCTTATCATGGACCATTTCCTTTCATTTCCACCATAGATTTTCAATTGGATTGAGGTCCGGACTATTTGCAGGCCACGCCATTGACATTATATGCCTTTCCTGAAGGAAAGTTTTCACGGCTTTTGCCATATGGCAAGATGCATTATCATCCTGAAAAATGATGTCATCATCACCAAACATCCTTTCAGTTGATGGAATAAGAAAAGTGTCCAAAATCTTAATATAAATTTGTGCATTTATTAAAGATTTAATGACTCATCTCCACTGTACATTTACCTGCCATGCAACCCCATATCATCAATGATTGTGGAAATTTGCATGTTTTCTTCAGGCAGTCATCTTTATACATTTCATTGGAACGGCACCAAACAAAAGTTTCAGCATCATCACCCTGCCCAATGCAGATTAGTGATTCATCACGGATTATCATTTTCATCAAGTCATCCCCAGTCCATGATTGCTTTTCTTTAGCCCACTGTTTCCTTGTTTTATTCTGTTTAGGTGTTAATGATGGCTTTTGTATGTCTTTTCTGTATGTAAATCCCATTTCCTTTAGGCGATGTGTTACAGTTTGGTCACAGACATTGACTCCAGTTTCTACCCATTTGTTCCTCATTTGTTTTGTTGTGCATTTTCTGTTTTCAAGGCATATTACTATAAGTTTTCTATCTTGACTCTTTGGTGTCTTCCTTGGTCTACCAGTACGATTCCCTTTTACAACCTTCCCATTTGCTTTGTACTTGGTCCAGATTTTAGACACAGCTGACTGGAAACAACCAACATCTTTTGCAACATTCCGTGATGATTTACCTTCTTGAAGAAGTTTTATAATCCTTTCCTTTGTTTCCCCTGACATCTCTCCTGTTGGAGCCATTGTTCATGTCAATCAGCTTGGTCCAACAGCTCCCCAAGGTGTGCAAGCACGTTTTTTTTTTTTTTTTAACTGCAGACTAATGTAATCTGATGCAGAGGTTTGTTTTAGAACTGCAAAGTACATGGCGATTCCATTATATTTTCCTCAGAATTGAGAGATTCCATGTTTCCCTCTGCTTGATCTGCAAAAACAGTTTCAATTGACTACAGTTTTCTTTCTTTTTTCTTTTTTAAGTGTTTCTTAAAGCCAGAAGTTTGGAATGTTAAATGAAAATAGTTTTGAGGCATGTCTGTAATTGGTTTTTTTTTTCTACAAAATTAAACAATTGAGTGAACATTTTCAAGATTGGTGATTCCATACTTTTTGCCAGGGGTTGTAGAAGGTTGTAGCAGTGCACAATGAAAACCTCTGCCTTTGTGTAACTAAATGCAGGCTTGATCGACCTGCTGGCTTGTATACAGTTTTTGGGGAGTCTTTAGCCATTTTACCAAGGCGCAGCTGAAGACACCGGAAGGCACCCTGGTTTCAAAAGGCTGCCCTAGATATCTATGGAGGGGCAATGGAGACAGCCTTGGACAGCAGCATTAACTGAGTGGGATGAGGAACAGGCTGGGGATGAAGAGCCAACACACATCCTCAGTTCAGCATCAGCCTGTGGAAGCCCCCACAACTTCCTGATCTCATGAATGAATGCATGACTGAATTTTTTTTCTTATTTTCACCTAATGATCCTGCCAGTAACAGACTTCATGTCACAGGGTGACAATGCTCACCATCTGTAATATATATATGGAGGAAGTGTTGTCACCCGAGGACAGCATGTAAATTAGGACTGCAGAACATTTTCATAAGGGGGAGGTGTTCTATAGTCTAGATAAAGAAGTGAGAACTATGCTTCGTGATAAGCATGCAGCATAGGCACAGGAAGTTCTCAGATTATATAGATTTTTGGAATTATATACATTTCTTTGCACAGATATAACAAAACACTTTCAATGGAATATTTAACAGCAAAGGGGAGCATATATGTAAGTACATATAAGTACACACACTTTAATTCAGCTGTTCATAATCATCTGTATATTATATAGATGTGCAACACAATCTCATTACTTTAGATAAAGCACCAGTCATTCAACATACTATAAAGAAAGGGCTCCTCCCTAGGCAAACACTCATATCAACTGCATCACAGCCTTTAACCCCTCTTATAAAGTGTGAGAACAAGTGTAGCAGCAGTGATTATGTAATGCTTTACATATATTTACTTGTACAGGTCTATACATAATTATTTTATGCACTTATTGTTTATAAATGGCTTAATGGCAATTGAGTCGAGTTGGGCTTATGACTGGCATTTGATTAGGTCAGAGCAAAATATCACTTTTGGGTTCAAAACACTTGCATAGAGAGAATTCAAACGCTTTAATGAAGTTACATATTTACACTTCCCACCATGGCGTCCATTGTAGAATGCTGCACTTTAAAAACTCGTCCTGCTGCCCACATGCTTCCAGTTCCTGTGCTTTACACCAAGTGTTTAGAATTGCAGCTGGCTCCAGGGAAGTGTATAGGAATTTCCCAGCTATCCAGTGACAGGCAGCGGTGGGTAGCAGGAGTGCAGCTGAGAGAGACAAGTTTTTAAAGCACTGTATACCCTTAATGACATCAAGCCAAATACAGCTTAAGCTGGGTATACTTTTGTTTTGGTTCAACCGCCAAGTAAAAAAAGAAAAAAAGTGACATCACCACGTTGATCCGTGATGTGTGGATTCCCATGTCAGAATACATTGATCAGCGCTTGCAGCCATTAGCTGCAAATACTAATTGAATGCAGGTTTTCTGGCTTTCTGTTGAACAGACAGTGGTACACATGTACTGAAAGTTGGCCAGTTCCTGCTGAATCGGCCGACTTTCAGTAGGTGTGTATCGGGCTTTGCATATTACACTCTACTTTCAAAGCTTTTCCTGTAATGTCTCCTGTGGTTATTACTTGAAATATTAGTGCTCCTGGTAGAAGATATGCAGGTAAACCCAGCCCAGAACTGCAGTCTTTTGCAGTACAGTTCATTTAGCAAAACATTAATACAGATGACAATATGCACCACTTGTATTAGTTTTTTTATATTTTTCACTGAGAGTGTATAGTTCCTTTAAGCCACCCAGTTTTGTTTATAGATAGTAGTGTATTTTCAGTATGGAGAAGCATGTTTATTTCAACAGCTTTAAATCTTAAGCATGAACATGCACTAAATAGGGTAAATAGGAAAAACATGACACTTACCACATTTTCATCATCGCTGGGTACGCTATCAGTTTCGCTCTCTAACAAAAGCAAAAATATTTGATTAAAACAGTGTAGAAAAAAGTACAATGCTGTCAATGTACCATTCTAAACATAACCAACAGCCAACAAGAGTATACTACCTATATAGCAAGTGCACAGCCAGGAGGAGAAAGAGCTTGCAGGCACCATGTAAGGATCATGGTTCTTGTAGGAAAAGAATTTAGGTCTTTTTGCTTATGTTTCTTGCAGAACGAAAATTTCATAACACATGAAATTTTATCAACACTGGCTTCAGTCCACATGAACTGGTAGAATATGTGTTGTTAACAAGTAAGGCTGGCCATACATTATACAATTATCTGGAGATTTTTGGTTTAGATTTACCAAAAACCATATAATAGGAGGACAAACCTAAACAACACTTTCAGTTGTATGCAATTAGGCAGGCCCTTGCACTACACAGTTGAAGGTAAATCTAAAGGAAATTGGGCAGAAAATTGGAAGATAATTGTATAATGTATGGCCAGCCTAAGAATAAGTAATAAAATAAGCACACGGTCTAAAATGGATGTGCAGGATTGCGAGAATACCATAAAAAAAAAAATCAAGGAATTGAACACTGCAAGAGGCCTGTTTAGGAGACAGAATTTACTATGACATCAAAGCTAAATATGACACAAAACTAGACTGGAAATACTGTGTTTACCACTGTGCTGTTGGCATCTTTAGCTATACTATATTGCCAAAAGTATTGGGACACCTCTCCAAATCATTGGATTCAGGTGTTCTAATCACCTCCATGGCCACAGGTGTATAAAATAAAGCACCAAGGCATGCAGACTGATTCTACAAACATTTGTGAAAGAATGGGTCGCTCTCAGGAGCTCAGTGAATTTAAGCGTGGTACATCTGGAAAATATCCTTGCTAATAAATATTCCACGGTCAACTGTTACTGGTATTATAACAAAGTGGAAGCAACTGGGAACAGCAGCAACTCAGCCACCAAGTGGTAGGCCACGTAAAATGACAGAGCAGGGTCAGAGCATGCTGAAGCACGCAGTGTGCAGAAGTTGTCAACTGTTCGCAGAGGCAATAGCTAAAGACCTCCAAACTTCATGTGGCCTTCAGATTAGCACAAGAACAGTGTGTAGAGAGCTTCATGGAATGGGTTTCTATGGCCGAGCAGCTGCATCCAAAGCCTTACATCACCAAGTGCAATGCAAAGCGTCAGATGCAGCGATGTAGAGAAAGCCGCCACTGGACTCTAGAGCAGTGGAGACGTGTTCTCTGGAGTGACAAATCACACTTCTCTGTCTGGCAATCTGATGGACGTGTCTGGGTTTGGCGGTTGCCAGGAGAACGGTACTTGCCTGACTGCATTATGCCAAGTGTAAAGTTTGGTGGAGGGAGGATTATGGTGTGGGGTTGTTTTTCAGGGGTTGGGCTTGGCCCATCAGATCCAGTGAAGGGAACGCTTTCGGCGTCAGCATACCAAGGCATTTTGGACAATTTCATGCTCCCAACTTTGTGGGAACAGTTTGGGGATGACCTCTTCATGTTCCAACATGACTGCGCACTAGTGCACAAAGCAAGGTCCATAAAGACATGGATGAGCAAGTTTTGGGTGGAAGAACTTGACTGGTCTGCACAGAGTCCGGACCTCTACGAAATGGAATACCTTTGGGATGAATCAGAGCAGAGACTGCGAGCCAGGCCTTCTCATCCAACATCAGTGCCTGACCTCACAAATGTGCTTCTGGAAGAATGGTCAAACATTCCCATAGACACACTCCTAAACCTTGTGGACAGCCATGCCAGAAGAGGTGAAGCTATTATAGCTGCAAAGGGCGGGATAACTCAATATTGAACCCTATGGACTAAGACTTGAAGGCCATTAAAGTTCATGTGCGTGTAAAGGCAGGCATTCCAATACTTTTGGCAACATAGTGTATAGATAATATTGTAATATCTATCTGATGAGGTTCTTGGAAGCATCAGATATGATCATTGCCAGTGCCAACATGATACTATGATGAAGGTGAATGCGGACCGCTTAAATTATTCTGAGGACAATGAGAATCCTTATAGAGGACCTGCATATATATGTGTGTGTCCTTTGTAAAACTGCACCTCTCAATCTGCCTGAACATTATGTGAATGGATAACCATGTCTTACTGAAAAAAAAATACAAGGCTTTCACTGAAGGGTGGCAGTTACAAGACAGCACCTCTCCGTGGTTACTATGCAGAATTGCAGCCACTCAGCACTGGACCCGGAAGATTGTTGCCATCGCTAGCCTACTGAACGAAATATCGGATTGGATGTCACTCCACTTCCTCAAACTGAACCTTTCCAAAACCGAGCTCCTAGTTTTCCCCCCAGCCCGCGCCCCCCAACTTCTCCATCACGACCAACAATGCCACCATCAGTCCCACTCCGCAAGCCAAAGTACTTGGTGTCATCCTAGACTCCAATCTGTCCTTCCAGCCCCAGGTTCAATCGCTGACAAACTCATGTAGACTCCACCCCTGCCAAATCTCCAAAATATGTCCGTTCCTAACCCCGGAAACTACTAAGCAACTCATTCACTCCCTTATCATATCACGACTTGACTACTGTAACTCCCTCCTCACTGGCCTACCTCACAACAGGCTATCCCTGCTTCAGTCTATCCTGAATACTGCGGCCAGACTCATCCACCTTACTAACCGCTCCGTATCCGCCACCCCCCTCTGCCAATCCCTCCACTGGCTTCCAATTGTCCAACGGATACAATTCAAAATGCTAACACTGATGTACAAAGCTGTCCATAACACTGCCTCAAAGTACATCACCGACCTGATATCCAAATACCAACCTAAATGTACTCTCCGCTCCTCACAAGACCTCCTTCTCTCTAGTTCCCTGGTCTCCTCCTCCCATGCCAGTCTCCAGAACTTCTCCAGGGCTTCCCCCATCCTCTGGAACTTCCTACCCCAATCCATTAGACTATCACCTACTCTCCTCTCCTTTAGGCGCACCCTGAAAACCCACCTCTTCAAGGAAGCCTACCCCGCCCTCAGCTAAACGCCAATCTCCTCCACTCCTCCTACCACTCCCATCCCCCCACAGCTATTCCTCCCGTACCACTATTCCCTCCCTCCTAGATTGTAAGCTCCAAGGAGCAGGGCCCTCGAACCCCTCGTTTATCGCATTGTATTGTTATTGTACTGTCATGTGTATTGTCTCCCATTGTATTGTACAGCGCTGAGCGAACTGTTGGCGCTATATAAATACTGTCTCTGTTGGGGTCCCTCAAGGCTCTGTCCTCGGCCCCTTCTCTTCTCCATCAACACCTCCTCCCTTGGCCAACTCATACACTCTCACGGCTTCAACTACCACCTCTATGCCGACGACACACAAATCTATCTCTCAACCCCCCACCTCACCCCCTCGGTCTCTGCCCGAATCACACACCTACTGAGCAACATATCAGACTGGATGTCGCTCCACTTCCTTAAACTGAATCTCTCCAAAAGTTTCTTGTCTTCCCCCCAGCCCGGACACCACCCCCCCACTGACTTCTGCCAATCCCTCCACTGGCTTCCGATTGCGCAACGGATCAAATTCAAAATCCTAACGCTGACGTACAAAGCTGTCCACCATACTGCCCCGAACTACATCACTGACCTAATATCCAAGTACCGCCCAGCACGCACACTCTGCTCCTCACAAGACCTCCTTCTCTCTAGTTCCCTGGTCTCCTCCTCCCATGCCAGCCTCCAGGATTTCTCCAGGGTGTCACCCATCCTCTGGAACTCCCTGCCCCAACCCATCAAATTATCACCTACTCTCCTCTCCTTTAGGCGCACCCTGAAAACCCATCTCTTCAGGGAAGCCTACCCACCCCCTGCTAACTTGCCGACCTCCTCCACTCCTCCTACCACTCCATCCCCCACAGCTATCTCCTCCTGTGCCACTATCCCCTCCCTCAATCCCCTCATGTTTTGAAAGAGCAGGGCCCTCAATCCCCTCATGTTTTGCATTGTATTGGTATTGGTCTGTCACATGTTCTGTCCCCCTTTGTAATGTACAGCGCTGAGCGAACTATTGGCGCTTTATAAATACTGTATAATAATAATCGCTGAAGTAGTGGTGAATACTACAGTGATTTGCAGCTTACACAGGGATCGGTCAGGTATCAGATATGCATACTTACATTGGTCCAAGCTGGACAAATGTAACTATGGAATAAAAACTACAATTAAAGACCAAAAACTACAACTAAAGACTTCTACCTTCAATGCTGCCAACTTCAGCAATCCTTTCAGTTTAAAGAAGTTTGCTCCAACCCCCTAGCTACCAAATGTAATATTTCAAAAACTGATCTGCAAGATAACAGTAACCTTGTCTCACATTCAAGGACACTTTGCCCCCACTCTGTATGACCTTTGGCTGAGACAAACTTTATCAATTCCAACCCAATTTAAAGCTAAATCTTGAATGAGGATTGATACTCAACAGCCTACTTCATAGATAAATCTATACCATTCTTTACCTGCCCTCGAAGTTAGTTTTTGTAAACCTATGTATAAAACTTGAAGTACATGAAGTAGAAATGATTTCAGGAAAGTGCACACAATGAATGCAAGCACCTTGCTTTTAAAGAAAAATCCATTTCCTTTTCTATTTTAAAATAACAAAGAAACAGACAATAGTCCAGTTACCATGGAACCAAAGGAAAACCAAAGGAGAATTTTCTGCTGAACATGGACATACATACATTTTCAGAGATCCTCATAAGCAAAATTAAGTTCTAGTTTAGGAATGGTTTAGTAATATTTTACCCTGTAAACTCCCCTCTATATATCTGTTACCCTCCCCACTGCATTTTGATGGCTCTGAAACATAACCTTTGACATAGATTTCTCAAACAACAGACTCATTTTATTACTTTCCTGTTTTTTCACTTCTCTTTGTTACCCACCATGCATTTGTGCATTAGACCTGTTTACAGCACTGGGCACCATTCTGTAGCTTTTCCTGCCTGTGAGTTTCAACCATGAAGTATCTAGCTTTTGTGGGTGTAGTTCCAGCATGTCTTATTTCTAGAATACATTTTAAACCTAATATTCATATGGTTAGCAGGGATTTGCACAGCTTAACAAGCAGTAATATTGTTTCATTTTGAGCTACTTTCCTGTTGCTGAGCTACCAAGAACAATAAAAGGTAAAACAAATACAGAGAACTGCATATGCTTTTGTGGCTGTAAAGACTAGTGTCCGCTCTTTGTGGCCAAGGGTATAGAAAGCTATACTACATGCTCATAATTTAATTGTATATGAAAGAAACTTAATACAAAAATACCTCTAATACCCATCTCACACTGCAAGTAGTCTCTACATGTAGGCACTTTAGATATTTAACCTGGCAGGAGTGGAGTTAAAGTGTTACTAAACCCAGGACCCTGCATTCACTATATCTAGTCTCGCACAGTACACACAACATGGAAATGCTATTATCTTATAAACTGCTAAATACCTTTTCTCATCAACAGTATATGACATGTCAAGTGACTTCTATCAATGTCCAGCTGAGCACTGGTTAAAGCTTGTAGGAGGAGTTTTCGTTCTCCTCTGATTATCCTATGAGGCTGCATAACCCCCGACCCTCTGTCTGGATAGTGCCAATTGGCCCTGTGCTGATCACATGCCCCCCCCCCCCCAAAAAAAACAAAACAACTTTCTAGCCATACACACTAAACTGAGCATACGCAGCTTGCCCCCAAGGCTCTGTTCTGTCAGCAGATGGCTTGGGGACAGTAGAAGTAGGGGAGGATTAGAGAAAACAGGATCAAACACTTTCTTACACAATGCGAATTAACCCCTTAGGTTCCACAGTGAGTATATCAAGCATGCTTTACTGCATATACAGACTGATTTTATGGTTGTGGGTTTAGTACACCTTAATATAGCGGCCACTCCTGGCTATAGGGATACTGGACCTATACTCAAAAGTATACTAAAAACGAAAGTTTTGCTAACATATGGAGACTTATCTAGACAGGGATAATTGTGGCTAAGTAGTACCCTGAAAATCCATCTTACTCCACAATTTCTGCGCTTCCTGACACGACTGTGCATAGACACTTCTGTTTCAATAGCATCATAGCTGCATATCTACAGTGTAAGACTATCTAAGCCATATGCTGCCCACTCCTACTTCTGATGACTGCGGATTTGATTTGGAGTGAGGGACTACATGCAACAAACTACCTCCTTTTCTTATGCTTCAATCATTCTTTAAATTTGTGCTGATTCTACTTCTATTGAAACTTCTTGATCATTCCCCTAGCAAACAAATAAATTACCAGTCATCAGAGGGCAGGTGTGACATCTGAAAGCAAAGTCATGCTCCTCTATCAAGATAGCTGCCTCCATGCAAACACACAGCAAGGAATAAGGCATGGTAGGTTGACCATGGGTAAAAGATCAGCGGCGGAGAGTGTACAGGTAATGTGGGTTATTAGTCCTGTTCCCTCCGCTTGACAATTTAGGGCACAGTATCCACAGCACAGGTCCTTTTTAATACATTTTTCATTATATGACTGTAAGGGTGGTCACTCCATGGCTATAGTACTTGAAGACAGTGTCTAATATTCTTCATTCCCTACCTGTAAGGTCAGTCCTTCCTATGGGGGCACTGGTGTGGGTTTGCTCCCAAGCCTTGCTGCCTGCACAGACAGCAGGGAACAGCACCACCCCTCGCTGCTCCCTCGTTGCAGAGTTTGATTAACAGATGCAGGAGCCAATGGCTCCCACTGCTATTAATCTGCCCTGTAAGGAGGGGTGGGGCCAGGAGAACAGCTGCTCTCAAGCACAGTGCTGGACCACGATGATGCTCAGATAAGTCGGGGGGGATCCCAGGCACAGAAGGTTTTATACAACCACCTTGAGGAATTACACTTTGCTTACTGACCTTCGTAGGAAGAGACTGGGGAGATCTGCAGTGGATAATGCTGAGAGGGATATGCTGGCTGCTCATCACTTTCTGTCATTACTTCAACAACTTGACAAACATCAGGAGGGTTGGTGAGACAATCATTTCTTCCACCATGCTATTGTTATATGCAGTTCCATCTGCAAAATGGAAACACACAGATTACATTTTACAAGTAATAAGTACTGGTAGGTTTACCACCTGATACGTGATGCATACATTATAATCTGGCTTATGTTTCTGAAAATCACATCAAAGTTTATATAAAGTGCAAAACGAAATAGTAAATAGACTGTTAATGTAAAAAAAGATAAATGTCGTGTGTTTTATTATTTTTTTCACAAAATCAGTACCTTCTACACACAAATCCCTATTTATCAAAAGGGCTGCCTTCAGGTTTCTTCAGGGTTGCCTTGGCAAAATGCCTAAAAATTTCCCAAAAATTGTATATAAGCCAGTGGGTGGATCAAACATGCCTTTAAGTCACATAAAGCCACAGATTTTCATTGTGCACCATTACAACCTTCCAGCTGCCAGTGTCCTAACAACCAATGATGTCACCAGTTGATAAGGTTGTAGGGTGCCTGCACACCATCCTTGTTTGAACCACCTCTGCCCCTCTCCATCAGCACTTGGGTCACATTAGCTGAATGAGGGAGAGAAACTGAATTAAGGGATGGTGCCAATTTTTCATCTACTGCACCCATGCAAGCAATACCTGGCACTGCAACCCATCTCTTGTGGGGGCAGAACAGGCTACTACTTACTCAAAAATTGTCAGGGATAGGGCAGGGCACAACAAAAAAAATTAAAAAAGTACCGTTTTTAAAGGTGCAGTCATTTTTCATTGCTTAAAAGTAAAAAAAAAAAAAAAAGAAAAGAAAAATTCCTTTGAATATCATGCCTGAAGGGTCCCCTTAACCCACCTGCAAAATTGCACATCCGTACAATCTATAGAACCTGCTGCAGCAGGACTGACATTTTTTCTTTTAATTATATTTGTATGGATTTTTAAGGGGAACCCCACCTCCCAAAAATAGGGGGGGGTAGTGTGTGGGGTTCCCCCTAAAAGCCATACCAGGCCCTTTAGGCCTGGTAGGCCTTTAAAGGGGAACCCCACCCCAAGAAATGGGGGTGGGGGGGGGGGGGGGGAGTGTGGCGTCCCCTTAAACTCCTACCAGACCCTTTAAATAAGAGGGCACCCTGATGCTGCCCCCCACCCTTCTGAATGAGTTAAGGGGTGCTTGTACTCTTACCCATTCACTAAAGGGTTAAATTTAGGGAAAAACAAAGAGACCAGTCTTTTGAAAATTCCTTTAATTGAAGGAAAAAAAAAAAAAAAAAAGTTTTTTTTACAAGTCTTATTAAAAAAAAAAAAAAAAAAAAAAAAAAAGCCAAGAAAATGGTTCCATTGTTTTCCGTCGTCAATCATTGCATCCAGCGTTGTCATGATGACGCCGACTCGCCAAATAATAATAAAAAAAACCTGACGCACGCCGAGGTGACTGCACCCGCAATCTGACATTTATCAGAATTGCTTTGGCCAATCATGGCTCACAATGCACTGTGAGAGCACAGTGCATTGTGGGGTGCGGCAGGCGAATAGCCCGCTGCAACCCTTACCGTTCGTGTGTTCGGCAAACACACGAATGGCTGATGTTCAAGTCGAACTTAAGTTCGACTCGAACATCAAGCCCATCCCCTGTCCTGATGTATGTTATGATTTGTAACCAATTATCACAAAAAAAAGCCCTCCCACTCTGTTGCTCTATGGTGGCAGAGATGAGTAAAAACCACATCCCTCATCTCAAGTGTTCTTGTGCAGACCTGAAGTCTGCACAAGAACACTTGGAAGAGAGAGGGTGTGTTTGGCCAAGTCTATTAGATTACAGAGTGCACTGATGCTTGTTGGGAAAGTGGAGGTAGGACTGTCTTTTTCTATACATGGAATTTCCACCTTGATGTATCCATCTGTGATCTGGAGTAATATATGAGGATGGCAGTTCAGAACTTCAATATTGTTGGGGGTCGACTTCAGCAAGTAATCTTCACCACGTCCACCTGCCTAAATGCATTGAGTTGCTGCCGTGTGATTGGCTGATTAGCAATTTGTGTTACCAAGCAATTGAACAGGTGTACCTAATACAATGGACAGTGAGTGTACACTTGTGACTTCGTATCCTAAGTAAGCTATGGCAACTTCCATATCCCGACAGGTTCTATTTAATGATTTACCGATATGCAAATTAGTAAAGTCAACAGGAATGGAAAAAATACATAAATTGTGACCCTGATTTTTGTATTATTTTAACAACTTTGACAAGATCTACTATAGATTCAGAGAAGGGAACTTTAATTTTTAAAGGTTATTTCTTCAACCTGGAACAAAGCTTATACAATCTATATAAAAGCATTGACTTTGCATGGAGAAACCTATACACTTAGTATATAAAGAATCAGTTCTTTTCAGAGATCCATCGAATCTCTGAGTATGGTATGCATTAAAAAAATTTAATATTTTACTTTTTTTTAGCTTGGATCGCTCACACTAAAGAGAATTGTCAATTGCTGTGCCATACACAGGTATGCCAATGCAGTAATTGGCAAACATTTGTTACTGGCAGCATAAAACCAGGATCATACCTTGTATGAAATACCCCTATAGACAATAAGGCCTCATGCACATGGAGGCTTTCAGGCACCTGGCACAAACTACATGCTTATTTCCGCGCCCAAGAGGTAATAAATGACTGCCCACTAGCTGTACACTTGTATACACCATGCTTGAATAAACGCATGCACTTGCATAGGCATAAATCCCTAAATGCGGCTTTTGTGGGTCCAGGGATTGTTTTACCCTTGTACAAGATAATGCAAGCACGGCATGTACCCATATACAGCTAGTGTACAGCCATTAATTACTATGGGCAGTTGAAGGCTGCAGCTATGTTTCCTGGGCATGTAAATCCATTCTCAATAGACCGGGTGCCCCTAAGTGTGCATGAGACCTAAGAAAAGATTCTTCTAATATGAAGTAACCTACCACTAGTTTTATAGATAGAGCAGTTGAAACACTCACCTACAATATTTACAGTGCTATCAACTTCTGGTCTCAATGTCGAACATATGAATGCATATTGTGGAGGAAGGGTATATGCTCCATTCAGCAATGGCAACGGTCTCTGGCCAAGTTCCTCCTGGACACAAACACATAGAATTAAATAAATCTATCCAAGCATTATATTTTTATTTTATTCCTTCTACTCTAATGATGTGACCTTTGTATTAGGGATCATTACTAAAGAAGATGGACAGAACACAAAAAAAAATGTGCTTTCCTAGACATGGCTTCTTAATTGTAAAAATTGTTACTTTCCAAGTAGTGTTCACTCAGCAAGGTGGTAAATGTGAAAAATGATGCTCATGACGTACATCACAGCTATTTTCCCCTTATCAAATACACAGCTTTAGAGCTTCTAACCTTCTTACTAGTCAAACTGAAACTGGAACCTTCATCATACGATTCTCACAGTCCCCCACCCCTGAAGTGTATTTTTAACATTTTGTGGTTCTTTTCTTAAATACTTTGGAATAAATGTGCACATGCCACCACAACAACAATTAGTGCACATGGTTTTTTTTTTGCTTCAACCAAATATATATATAAAGCATTTTTGAAAGTCAGAGAAAAACAGAGAGCACCTCTGTCAGGTGTAATTGCTGCCTGTGTCCCTATATGGAAAATTTCCCCTAATTCACTTTCAGGACAGGAAGTGAAGGCAAATCCCTCCAAATAGAGATGCAGACAAAACAAAAAGTATGTTTTTACTAAGAGTCAGAACATTTGACAATGTTTTTTTTACTGCCTGTGCCTTCCTGTCACAGTGACAACTATGCTACCCCCATTTCTTGTCCTGGATCTACAGGGACAAAGAGTGAGCAAAAATCTCCCGAATGGGTTCACAGACACAAATAAATACCTGCCTGAAAATGTAACTCTGTGTTACGTTCTAATTTCTTTTTGGCTGAAGTTAGGGTTGAATCATCTGGTACCGAGTCTATGAATTTTGAAGAGGATCATTTAAAACTGGGACCAGTTGTATTTAGTGCTGTTTTTGCCATGAACTGCATTGCTATTCAGTTATTTCTTCACACAACTCACAGGGAATGCTCCTTAAATACATTTCGAAGGCAAGATTTTGTGAGTGGATCCTAAAGGTGCCCATGAACAGAGAAAGACTGGCTTTAAATGAACTGTTCACCACCTGTTGCTTCAGACAATTTTTTTACTGACTCAAATATATGATACCATTCCTGCAGTTAATTTCAGCCTATAAATATACCACGTTACAAGTCCTAAAGTTGCAATGTCTAATATACTTTACCAATATAAAACCTGAACCCGTATGGTTTTAAAAAAAAATGGCATTAAAAAAAAAAAAAAAAAACTGTGGAAAAAGTAGGTATTGTTCTGCTTACAGAGTCAGCTATTCTTCAGCACAGGTAGAAATGCTAATGACCAAAGCCACCATTAGCACCGTGCCACTTTCCTGACCATCAATTTATTTCTATACAAAAACGTTTGAACAATGCAGTAACTGCAAGAATGACTGTTAGCACAAACACTTTTGTCCATTTGTGGCTGTTTTCGTTCTGTAATCTCCATGGTCACCCGAGCCCTAAAAGACACAACTGCCCTCAAGGCTGCCAGAAATTGTGTTTGGTCAATAATTTTACCTGGTGAACGAAATCTTACTCAATTTGTAAGGAATAGCGCCTAAAGCTGCAAAAATAATAAAAAGAACACTGCGACATTGCTTAGATGCTTAAACTTGCACAGAGTAAAAGTGCAAGTATGATAAACTTGCCACAAAATAAAACATGAAGAGTTGCCTTTTCTGTCAACCAACCTAACCCCCTAGAGATAGGGATGGGAACAGGCTTTAGCTAATAGCACAGATTTTATTACCTACCCAATGGACTGTTCTCCAAGACTGGCCTGAAGCCAGGTTGTAGGTCACATAGATTAGATTATTTCTCAGACCGGCTCTTGTCTAACCCATAGGTTTGACAGGCTCAACAACTCCCACAACCTACCTTAGAACATCTGTAATAACATGCACATATAGAGAATGTGGGGCCCAGCCTTCCAAAATACAAGAAAACCTTTAAAATTTGCAAACAGGGCAGTGTCTTTTTATCTCACCTTTCTTGTTTGCATCATATAGTTAGTGAAAAGACTACTGATGAACTTTAAGTAAAAACTGCTAACTGATGGCAGGGATCTTTAAGCAAAGACATATCTATACTGGTCATCATAAAATGCATGTTGCATTTAAATTTAGGGCCAAAGAACATAAGTAGAAAGCAACACACATACTACTAATTTATTGTTAAAGCAGAACTAAAGTCTCTCAATCAACAGTAACTATTTTAATCCTTATTCTGCTAGCATTAGTAAATAGAATGAAAGGTACATTTACTCATTTTAGACCTTTTTTTTTTTTTTACATTTCTTTTGTTGCATCCTGGTTTCTGGCCCAAGTCAAAATAATGTCATAGATCCCAGGGCGTCTACATGGGCATTGGTTTTCTTTCCTCTGGAGAAGGGGCTTTTTCATCTAAGCACATCCACCTGCCTGCATGCCTGACCTAATGGCAGATAGATTCCAGGAAGTAAAAGCTACATGAATCTCCTTCCCTTACTCAATATGGCCAAAGATAGAAATGCTAGAGGGTGTTTTTCAAAGTGGTTTCTCAAAAAAATAAAAAATAAAGCATGGTGACATGGATGGATGGGTGAGTTTGCTTTGAATAGTAACAATGAATTAAATTGGAATTTCAGGCTATTAACTAAGCTTAACCACTTCAAGTCCGGACACTTTCACCCCCTTCCTGTGCAGGCCAATTTTCAGCTTTCAGTGCTATCACTTTGAATGACAATTTCATGCTAATGCAACACTGTACCCATATGATTTTTTAGCTTTTATTGAGACAGATAAAACTTTATTTTGGTGGTATTTATTCACCACTGGAATTTCTATTTTTGCTATATAAATGAAAAAGTCCAAACATTTTGAAAAAAAAAGTGTTTTTCTAATAAAGTTTTGCAAACAAATAATCTTTCTTCATAAATCATGGCCAAAATGTATTCAGCTATCTTTTTAGTAAAAAAAAAAAAATAACCCAAATTAGTTTAGAGCCAAAAATTGTAATTTTTAAAAAAATGTTTTTACATTTTTATATTATTTATGTTTTTTTTTTTTTAACATGCTGTCACCATAGTGACCCTGTACTACTCGTGGGGGGTGATAAAGATTTTTTTTCTTTTTTTTTTACACGGATTGCTTTTACACCCATAAAGACTGTAAAAGCAATCATTTCTCCTTCTCTCTGGCTACATTCTTGCAGCCATTGAGAAATACTGTGAGAGCTGTGATTGGTCACAGCTTGTCACATGGTACTACGCTGTTGTGAATAGCCTTGTACCATGTGACCTCTGTGATCATTCACAGATTTCACAAGTAGTAAGCAATGATGTCAGGAAGTGACATCTTGTTTACTACTATTCATGTAATCACTGATTGGCCAATCAGTGATCACATGAATCGGGACCTCACACAGAGATCCCGTACAGCGATCGGACATAGCAGGCACCGGATCATGGTGCTGCGCACTCCCAGGAAGCATGCACAGGCAGTGAATGCAGGGGGCCGTTTCTAAACAGCCACCTGCTTCGGCACTGCTCCCGTCTGGCCATTTATATACATGGGCCGGATGGGAAGTGGTTAAACCTGCTCCCACCTCCCTTTCTAAATCCAATACTAACTACCCTGTAGAAGGAAGAAGATGCTAATACTTGCCTATTCGCAGGGTGCTCTGGACCAGTCACATAATCGGCCTGCAGGAGCAGTTTCAGGGGGATGGAGGGGCAGCCGACAATGGATGCACCATAGTAAGCCTGTGGGTGATGTCACCACCCAGGCATTGCAGCCGTTGTCGTCAATCTCTCTTCTCCCCTGAAGAGATTACGTGACTGTACTAGAGAGGTCTGAGAATAGGTAGGTATAAGCATCTTTCTTTCACAGGGTTGCTCATATAGGATTTAGAAGGGGGAGGGGGGGTAGGTTTAGGCTTAGTTAGTATCAGCCTGGAATTCCACCTTAAATAGCATTTTCAATTTGTGGTGCTCAGACACAGTTTAGTTTCACTTTAAGATATAGTAGGCAGTGTGGGAAAAATAAAAATCCAAACCTTCTCTTGTTTTATTCTTTCTTCTTTTTCTGCTTTTGCTCTTTTTCCTGAAAGGGAAAGCAAAAGAGAAAGGAGTTTATTAGGAAGCATAACCTGTACCATATCAGTCTGCTCATTTGCATGCAGGACAGTCTTATTTTCTAAGGCAGCTGTTAACAGGAAACCAAGTTAAGTAATTCTTTGTGTACATGTCTGACTAAGCGCTTCCCATAACAAGTGTTACACAGTATGTCTTTATCCATTTTTCCTGCACATATTGTAGTGAATACACTGGTACAATACATTGTTATTCAAATATGCTTCTTGTAAATATGAGCACATATGCAAATAAAGATCTTTACTGGCCATAGTTATAATGTTAAAGTACCTATACACATTAAGCCGGCTACTCATGGATCATAATGCAGCTGTTTCAGCAGGGACCAGACAAATTTCGATTAATGTATGGGCTGGCTTGTTTGATTGATCAGTGCCACCGACTATAGCAAAGAACAATAGCTCAGTGATTCCCCATCCACATCAAATGTGTGGATGGAAGGAATGGGGTTTTCTTTTTCGTTCAAGCCAGTGGTTGAATGGAAAAGAAAAAAAAAAAAAGAATCATGTATGGCCTGCTTTAGATAACAGTCCCCCAATCTGGTAGCTACTGGTGTTCAGAGGTTACAAAAGCTTGGTCGATCGGTATTGATTTTCCCAAAGTAATCCAATGCTTAGACTGCCTGCAGTATTATGCGTGCTGCACCTCCTCTTAAGTAGCCTACACAGGGATTCTTATTGGACCAGAGGAATCCTGTTTATAGGCAAAGCTGGGCTAAGATTTCCAATTCTCATCCTACTTGGTAGATAGTATCACAAGGGCAATAATAAGCAGAACGTTGTTATAGGCAGTGATGCTATGGGTGACCACTCCTATCTGACACTCATATTCTGTTGGAATATTTATAGTAATTTACAGAAAATGGAGCATGGTTGAGTGACCATCCTAAATAAGATTGTCCCAAACAAATTCTTTAAAACAGAGCCTGATCACCATTCTCCTATCCACCAAAACATAGCAATGTGCCAATATATGAAGAGAGGGACGAGCGCTGGATATGATAGGATTCAAGCTGCTAGCATATAGGTAAACCTCGTATACCCCATTCATCAAAATTCAAATACAAAAAATGCAGCGCTTGAGTGTATAATACAGGGAATTAGCATGAATAACAGATTTAAATGTTCATATTTCAACATGCACCAGATTCCACATTCTTAAATTGTTAAAACAATAATCAGATGAGTAATGAAGATCTATCCGTCTAATCAAGGTGCATATAGTGATGGTGATGCTAAAATCATAAGTTCTGTGATGTATCCAAAGAAATCCGTGACTTCCGTGATAGGGGAATAACTGTATAATGCACTAACCAGATAGCGCAAGTACATGCGCATTGGAGTATAATGACCTACTCCTGGTCACAGCCAGATGGTCCTCAGCATGAAGCCCTCAAGGACACCAGTGCACCACTCTTGCCGTCTCCTACCACCAGGGGGGGTGCGCCTCTTTACAGTAACACGAAATCACTTTGTATCCTCTATCACCAGGATTGGTGTACTTTCTTATCAGGAGATCATCTCAGGGGCTCAGCAATAAGACCCAAAAGAAAGAAATCTTGATAGTGTAGTATTTTATTCAAAGGTAAAAAAGTAAGTAATACACTTACATGGTAATGTCCAAAAAGCTGATGCATAGAATCCAAAAAGATGGCCGACAGTCAGATGCATGAAACCAGTGGATAATAAATGGTGTGAGAGGTGTCCTTATCCCTAACGCGTTTCGTGGCAATGGCACATTATCAAATGCCACGAAACGCGTTAGAGATAAGACACCTCTCACACCATTTATTATCCACTGGTTTCATGCATCTGACTGTCGGCCATCTTTTTGGATTCTATGCATCAGCTTTTTGGACATTACCATGTAAGTGTATTACTTACTTTTTTACCTTTGAATAAAATACTACACTATCAAGATTTCTTTCTTTTGGGTCTTATTGCTGAGCCCCTGAGATGATCTCCTGATAAGAAAGTACACCAATCCTGGCGATAGAGGATACAAAGTGATTTCGTGTTACTGTAAAGAGGCGCACCCCCCCTGGTGGTAGGAGACGGCAAGAGTGGTGCACTGGTGTCCTTGAGGGCTTCACGCTGAGGACCATCTGGCTGTGACCAGGAGTAGGTCATTATACTCCAATGCGCATGTACTTGCGCTATCTGGTTAGTGCATTATACAGTTATTCCCCTATCACGGAAGTCACGGATTTCTTTGGATACATCACAGAACTTATGATTTTAGCATCACCATCACTATATGCACCTTGATTAGACGGATAGATCTTCATTACTCATCTGATTATTGTTTTAACAATTTAAGAATGTGGAATCTGGTGCATGTTGAAATATGAACATTTAAATCTGTTATTCATGCTAATTCCCTGTATTATACACTCAAGCGCTGCATTTTTTGTATTTGAATAGCAATGTGCCGTGTGATTGTTAAGGAAAAATGACAAAGTAGGAAATGAAAGTGAGAATTTTGAAACCCACTGAGCTAATAAAAAATACAGGAAGTTTTAACAAACAAAAATCTGTAAGCATATGAGGTTGTTACTATGCTAGAACACCAACCCTGAAACTGAATTCTGATCCTGCCATTCAGATGCTGTGCCGCAATGGTTAAGAAGCAAAAAGTGACCAGATTTCTCTTACTGCACATTTAAGTTATGTCATGGAGATTTACTTACATTATGCAAGGGCTTTATTAAAACCTAGTAAGACCAGAGCCAGGCCTTACACTGAAAACAAGAAAAAAATCAAAATGAACCTAACAGTTACAATCAGAGTTGAAATTATCATACGCAGGCTAACTTGAAAGATGTAATTTAAAGTGATATTTGCAGTGGTTTTGCACAGAGCAGCCCTGATCCTCCCCTGCTCAGGTCCCCTGCTAGCGTTCCTGGCCCCTACCTCCTGCCTAGTGCCCTCATAACAAGCAGCTTGCTCCAGGGGCTCCTGAGCCGCTGCTCTGTGTGTCCACCTCACCCACAGACTGCGGCTTGACCCCAGGCTTCTCTCCTCATTGGCTCACTGGCTGTGACTGACAGTAGCGGGAGCCAATGGCTACTACTGCTGTATCAGCCAATGAGGAAGGAGAGTCATGGGGGAGCCGAGGCTCTCGTGCACAGCTCAGGTAACTATTAAAGGGGATGCTGCTCACAGAAGGTAAAAAAACTTAACCCTTTACAATCACTTTATCTAATACATATTGTGCAAATTTGAATGATGTTCTATAACCAATAGTTATTATCAGTAAACCCGCTGAGTTCAGTAAAGCAAAAAAATAGAAACATTTGCATAGGAGTTCCTGAGTATAGACCGTAAAGTATGCATACAGTGCAAATGTACGCTATTAAAGTACAAGAGCTGATTCTGTCCTAGCAACAGTGGGATGCTAGGAGGCAAAAGCTGCCTGTATCCTAGTAACAGAGACTGGTTCGTAGCTTTCTTGAGAAGATGCCTATGCCCCGGAGGAAGAGAGGAATTTAGATGGGAGTAGCCACTTGCTTCCAGCAATGGAGGACACTAGGCTTCTACCAGCAAGATCCTCCATACTAGTTGCTACATTTTCATATGGCCGTGTGCATTAGGCATGTTAGCGTCCAGCATTGTAATATGGTCAGAGCACCCAGAGAGTCCCAAGGTCACCGATTAGACTTAAACACACAATACTGACCTTACCTAAGAGACTTTGCTAAAGGAGAAAGCTCCTTTGCACAAAAAAATGCCCAGAACAAGGATTCCTCCTTTATTCCTTCCATATCAGTCTATAATAATGAAGAATAAAGGAGGAATCTATTGTTCAGGGCATTTTGTTGAGTAAAGCGATTACAGAAGTTACAGCTGTTTGCACAACATTATTAAACAAAGTTTTATAGCTTTCATGTATAATAATGCTGTGCAAGCAGCTGCACCTTCTGTAACTAGTAAGAAGTCAAGTTAATAAAATTTTATATTTTGGTGGTTGCTGTGGATTAAAGAATTACACTCACCGGCCACTTTATTAGGTACACCTTTGCTAGTGACAAAAAAGTATCCCTTATACCATTACACCACCATAACCAGCCTGAACCATTGATACAAGGCAGGATGGATCCATGCTTTCATGTTGTTTACGCCAGATTCTGACCCTACCATCTGAATGTTGCAACAACCAGTCTGCCCATTCTCCTCTGATATCAACAAGGCATTTTTGTCCACACAACTACTGCTCACTGGATATTTTCTGTTTTTCGGACCATTCTCTGTAAACCTTAGAGATGGTTGTGTGTGTGTAAATCCCAGTAACTCAGCAGTTTTTGTAATACTCAGACCAGCCCGTCTGTCACCAACAACCATGCCACGTTCAAAGTCACAAAAATCCCCTTTCTTCCCCATTCTGATGCTCGGTTTGAACTTCAGCAAGTCGTGTTCACCCCATGCCTAAATGCATTGAGTTACTGCCATGTGATTGGCTGATTAGCAATTTGTGTTACCAAGCAATTGAACGGGGGTACCTAAATAAAGTGGCTGGTGAGTGTGTATTGCTCTATGCATCATACATTAATACACTCAAAATATCCAAGACTAGGTTCACAGTATGTGGAAATACACATGGGGTGCCATTAACCCTCAATAGCACCCAAATGCACTGGAAAGCATGGCACTTTTTTCCACACATGGAAAAGAATGGAGCCATGAGATTTCCCTGTGACCACATTTTTGATGATAGGCAAGGACTTTTTTAAAAAAAAATGGGTTGCTGTGTCTTTGCAAATGGTGATGTGAACCTACCTAAAACAATTGTTGTTGCTACAAATTGAATGACAGGCCATCAAAGTTACACAGAAACAAATCATAGCATACCTCTTTTTGAAGGTCTTTCTGCTAAAGGTATCATCCTGTATACTCTGAAGGCATTATTGCCTTTCTTCATACTTTTGTCTTTTACTTCTTCTATATCTGGTAAGGAGTTCATTGCACACCTAAAATTTGCCTTCCATGTCTTTGGATCTGGTTTATCTATACCAGGCTGATATTTCCCTATAAATCAAGAACATATATAAATAATTAGATATAAATAGCTATAGCAGGGAGGTAGGGAGAACCAAATGATTGGGGTGTGAGACTGCATTAAAGTTTAAAAAAAAATTGACTTTATGTATCATATGACCACAAATAGCATTGACAGTAAAAGTAGATTTCGGGTTTTGATTACACAAAAACAACAAAAATCTAATTATAGCTTGTGTATTTGTGATTTTCTGTTTTCATATGGTGAAATAAGAGAACATCCTTATGCTTTTTTTCAGCTTCTCTGAACCGAATAATGCATATGTACAGTAAAACCAAGCCATGGAAGTCATGTTGCATTTTAATAAGACTCTTGATGATTTTTATAGCCTGGTGAAGGGGGTATGAGGACCTAATGGGCAATCCACTGGGGGACTGTAATCATAATATATGCACGCTCAGATATATAGTTATGTACCATATTTTTCGCTCCATAAGACGCACCTTTTTCCCCCCAAAAAAGGGAGGAAAATGTCAGTGCGTCTTATGGAGCGAATGTAAAGCGGCCGGTCCGGTATTTCTGCTGCCACCATGTCAGAATATCGGGCCGGCCACTCAGCTCTTCTCTCCTGCAGGACCTTACCTGTTCCTCACTCCAGCGCTGCACTCTTTTTTTCTGCGGCGGCTTCTGTGACAGCCGGGTGCCCACTGCGCATGCGCGAGAAGCGCTGCACTTTGTGAATGGTCCGGTGTCTTCTGGGACACATGACAGGTCCCAGAAGGCTCCGGGCCATTCACAAAGCGCAGAGCTTCTCGCGCATCCGCAGTGGGCACCCGCCTGTCACAGAAGCCGTCGCGGGAAGAAGAAGGAAGGACAACTCCGCGGAAGTGGGAGCGGGTACCTGTCAAATTCAGGTACCCGTTCCCCTCCCTCCCCAAAGGTCCGCAGTCTCTGGTCATCCCCTGTACTATGTCCGCAATCTCTGGTCATTCCCTGTACTATGTCCGCAGTCTCTGGTCATTCCCTGTACTATGTCCGCAGTCTCTGGTCATTCCTTGTACTATGTCCGCAGTCTCTGGTCATTCCCTGTACTATGTCCGCAGTCTCTGGTCATTCCCTGTACTATGTCCGCAGTCTCTGGTCATTCCCTGTACTATGTCCGCAGTCTCTGGTCATTCCCTGTACTATGTCCGCAGTCTCTGGTCATTCCTGGTACTATGTCCGCAGTCTCTGGTCATTCCTGGTACTATGTCCGCAGTCTCTGGTCATTCCTGGTACTATGTCCGCAGTCTCTGGTCATTCCCTGTACTATGTCTGCAGTCCATTGGTTCAGAATATTTTTCTCCTCTAAAACCTAGACGCGTCTTATGGAGCGAAAAATACGGTACATAGTTTATAGATGGGTAAATTATAGATATACATATACACAGCAGTTTAGTAACAAAGGCAGAAGAGCATACAATGCACTGTGTATGGGCAGCATTCTACCCAGAGACGCACCGTTCTCCTCACAGGAAAAGCAAAACTCTATGCTCCTGTTTCATCCCTTTGACACGGGCTGCAAATTCTTGAGCTCTCAACATGCTTTTAGACCTGTGATTTGCATGGCACATGGCAGGGGTTGGAACCGCAAACTAAAGGATTGATTTAATAAAACTGATGCACTCTGAATCTGGTGCAGCTGTTCATGGTAGCCAATCAGCTTCAAACTTCAGCTTGTTCAATTAAGCTTTGACAATAAAACCTGGATCAGACTGGAATCTATGCAGAACTGCACCAGATTTTGCACTGTTTTCGTAAATAACCCCCTACAGCCCTGGCCAAATAAGTTTTGAGAATGACACAAATTTACCTGTTGTTAGGAAACGTGTGCAGTCATCATAGCTTTGCACAAAAAGATTCACAGGCAAGGATATTACTTCTATTAAAATTGCACCTAAATCAATTATTTATTGGATCATCAAGAACTTCAAGGCGAGAGGTTCAATTGTTGTGAAGAAGGCTTCAGGGTGCCCAAGAAAGTCCAGCAAGTGCCATGACCATCTCTTAAAGTTGATTCAGCTACAGGATTGGGGCACCACCAGTGCAGAGCTTGCTCAGGAATGGCATCAGGCAGGTGTGAGTACATCTGCACGCACAGTGAGGCAAAGAGATTTGGAGGAAAGCCTGGTGTCAAGAAGGGCAGCAAAGAAGCCACTTCTCTCCAGGAAAATATCAGGGAAAGACTGATATTCTTCAGAAAGTACGGGGATTGGACTGCCGAGGACTGGGGTAAAGTCATTTTTTCTGATGACTCCCCTTTCCGATTGTTTGGGGCATCCTGAAAAAACCTTGTCAGGAGAAGAAAAGGTGAGCTCTACCATCAGTCCTGTGTCATACCAATAGTAAAGCATCCTGAGACTATTCATATGTGGGGTTGCTTCTCAGCCAACGGAGTGGGCTCACTAATAATTTTGCCTAAGAACACAGCCATGAATAAAGATTGGTACAAAAACATCCTCCGACAGCAACTTATCCCAACCATCCAAGAACAGTTTGGTGACAAACAATGCCTTTTCCAGCATGTTGGGGTGCCTTGACATAAGGCACGAGTGATAACCAACTGGCTTGGGGAACAAAAGATCAAACGTTTGGGTCCATGGCCAGGAAACTCCACAGACCTTGATTCCACAGAGAACTTGTGGTCAATCCTCAAGAGGAGAGTGAACAAAAAACCCCCCACAAATTATGACAACCTTCAAGCATTAATTATGCAAGTATGGGCTACTATCAGGATATGGCCCAGAAGATGATTGACAGCATGCCATGGCGAATTACAGAGGTCTTGAAAAAGAAGGGTCAACACTGCAAATGTTGACTCCTTGCATAAACTTAGTGTGATTGTAAATAAAAGCCTTTATGACACTTATGAAATGCTTACTTCAGTATACCATAGTAACATCTGACAAAAAGATCTAAAAACACTGAAGCAGCAGACTTAGTGAAAATTAATATATGTGTCATTCTCAAAACTTTTGGCCAGGGCTGTATATGTCTGAAAAAGCCACAGTGTGATAAAGACCCAAGCTTTTTTTTTTTTTAGCTTCATATTCATTTGGGATTCTCAACACATATCTATGTGGTCTAGCTGTTGATCTGTCTTATTCTGAAATGTAGAATGAGCTGCGCTAAATAAAAAAAAAAAAAAAAAAAACAAGCCTACCAACATCACCCATAATTAATAATAATCCAAGTCGACACTGCTGTGAAAAGTAGCAGACTATTATAGAGTAAGAGAATGAGAATCTTTGGTCTGAGTTTTATTCACACAATATTGGCATTACATGCCCATCTAGGAGCTGATGACTTCAACTATTACCAAAGGATGAAAAAAACAGTTTAAAAGCAATACGCTTTAAGTGTTGTGTTGACGTGTGTTGAATACCTGTATGAATTGCCCAGTTTCTGAACAGAGGGGCATCTTTGTCCACATCCCACCCATGACGTGCCGCGTGCATCCATGGAATCTGGAATATTTTCTTTTCCTGAAATTAAAAAGATATAAAAATAAATATTTCCACAGCCACAACTACATTAATGAATGCAAACTTTCAACTAAGAGGCAGAAGAAACACTGGTACTGATGTAAACAGCATCCCATGGATAATACTAATGCGTTATTAATAAACAAAAATTATGAATCATGTCAAAAAAGGTTGAACATAGCTATTACTAATGGCTTATCTCTTTTTTCATAAACACACTGCCAAATACACTGTGTTCTGGGTAGTAAATGTCTAGTGGACTTCGCTTATCTTATAATGAGAAAGCAAAACTTCACATCCGGCCTCTCCATGCAGAGCTGGCTGAAACTGATAACAGTTTGAAACCCTTTCCTGGGACAAAGCTGCTGTTCATGCTCTTGGCACAGCCTGCCCAGTTAGATTATTAACCTTCACACTAAACCAAGATAATACTTTTATACATAATATCCCAGCCTATATGTCAGATTGCCCTCATACGCTACACTACTGCTGCTTATAATGAGTTGTAGACAAAATAGTGAAAACATGGGTGAAAAAAAGATGAACAAACACATTGAAAAAGCCCTGTTCACACCTGAGCGATCTGAAGTGTGATTTGAAGATCCACCAAAGTGTTTCAGCCCTAAAAACTAGGATACCATTATTTTCAATGGTGCCTGTTCACACCAAAGCATAATGTCATTTGAAGCTTGTTTTTTAATACAGAATTGCATGTTTTGGCCCAAAAAAAAAAAAAAGCTAGTAACTAGCTTTTCGCTGGCTTAAAAATAATAAAAAATAAGCTTAAGCCTGAAATGCACACAAAAACACCTGTACAGTCGTGAAACAAAATTGCACAAAAGACAACCAAATGCTCAGCTCAAGAGTGAATGGGGCCTTAAAAAAAATGTTTTCCCAAAGAAATTTTAGCCTCTCTCGTGTACTGTTAAAGCTGCATAAGAAATGTAGGTGCACGGCACATGTATTATTTTTAGTCTGTGAATGGAACAGCTCATAATAAAAAGGAGTTGTCCTCAGTCAGGATTTTGTCCTAGGGCAGTGTTCCTAATACAGCCTTCAATTCCCCCTACATAGGTGTGGTCGTACATGTAAGTAGATGCACCAGAGAAAAAAGTGAAATTGCCTAGAAGTCACAGACATGAAAAAAAGTATAGCAAAAGGGACGATTTTGCAGGCACAGGTTATAAGGCTTTGGCATGCTGTATACAAGGTTAGTCCTTGCATTCTGTATGCAGGAGAGGCCAACATCCTGGCAATGCTTGGTGAATTGCAGGTGCTTATTTCAAGGGATTTTGGAATTGCTGCTCGATTCCGAATGATCCCTGGTCAAAGTTCACATGCCTGGCCTTCCAACATTACCAGAGCCTCTTCAATGTTTAACCCAAACAGTGTCCAATCACCTGCAGTATACAGTAACATGTGGGTCTCTTACCACTTGTTCACATATCTGTGGCCGTGCGGGCCGTGTTTTGCATGGGCACGAGAGCCTATTCATTTGAATTGACTCCCGTGCCCCAGGACACGCAGGGAAGAAGTCCCTGCACTTCTTCGTTAAACGTAGCCTGCACGGGAACCGAGGTTCCCAGTACAGTTGCGATTTCCAGTGCGGGCGGCATGCCATTAGAATTAATGGCACCCGCCCGTGGGTCCTTCATTCCTCTGTGCGGGTGGTGCAGCTACACGGATTTTTGTGCGGATCCGCAGCGGCACCACCCACACAGATGTGAACCAGGGTTTACTCAAGTAAAGCAACCTGGCCTTCCTACTGGGAGCAAAACATGTGTCTTCATCAGAAATAAACATTGTGCTTCAGTATGCCCTTTGCAACTCAACATTCCCCATACCAGGTCCTTATCTTGTCTCCTGAAGACTCTTGCCACCAAAGAAAAGTCCTCCCAGGCTCAACCACTTCATGCTTTCAAATAAAGGGTAAAATGTCATCCCTTAACAACCATACCGATTACAATCGGATAATGAAACACTGTTAAGTGTGATCATAACTGAGGCAGGTTAAGACATGTACGGTGTTACATAAGATTATCGCAATTAAAAATTATCACATCACTTAAAAACATGAAAAAAAGAATAGAAAATATTTCCATACCCTGAAATTGAGGTGTGGCAAGATGCATGTGCCATTCTTGACTAGAACTGACCAATCATTTCATACAGTCAGTAATTTAACAGTATCTCATTAAAATGAAAGTATGGTACAGCAAGTGCAAGAAGGCATAGCCTGTAGCGCTACACACCTCTTCTTCAATATATACTCACTGCATACACAAATCCAAGTGTCTAGAGAAGCCTTTGTCTACCAGGGTTCCTCCAGAGGTTGGAGGTGTTCCTTGAGTAGCAAGTCATTTTAGCTTTTTAAGTAAGTATCCTTTGACACCAGTGATCTTTTTAGCTACTGACCACATACAGTCAGGTCCATAAATATTGGGACATGGACACAATTCTAACATTTTTGGCTCTATACACCACCACAATGGATTTGAAATGAAACAAACAAGATGTGCTTTAACTGCAGACTGTCAGATTTAATTTTGAGGGTATTTACATCCAAATCAGGTGAACAGTGTTGGAATTACAACACTTTGCATATGTGCCTCCCACTTCTTAAGGGACCAAAAGTAATGGGACAGAATAATAATCATAAATCAAACTTTCACTTTTTAATACTTGGTTGCAAATCCTTTGCAGTCAATTACAGCCTGAAGTCTGGAACATATAGACATCACCAGACGCTGGGTTTCATCCCTGGTGATGCTCTGCCAGGCCTCTACTGCAACTGTCTTCAGTTCCTGCTTGTTCTTGGGGCATTTTCCCTTCAGTTTTGTCTTCAGCAAGTGAAATGCATGCTCAATCGGATTCAGGTCAGGTGATTGACTTGGCCATTGCAGAACATTCCACTTCTTTCCTTAAAAAAACTCTTTGGTTGCTTTTGCAGTATGCTTTGGGTCATTGTCCATCTGCACTTTGAAGCGGCGTCCAATGAGTTCTAAAGCATTTGGCTGAATATGAGCAGATAATATTGCCCGAAACACTTCAGAATTCATCCGGCTGCTTTTGTCATCACATCATCAATAAATACAAGAGAACCAGTTCCATTGGCAGCCATACATGCCCACGCCATGACACTACCACCACCATGCTTCACTGATGAGGTGGTATGCTTAGGATCATGAGCAGTTCCTTTCCTTCTCCATACTCTTCTTCTCTTCCCATCACTCTGGTACAAGTTGATCTCGGTCTCATCTGTCCATAGGATAACTGTGAAGGCTTTTTTAGATGTCGTTTGGCAAACTCATCTGGCCTTCCTGTTTTTGAGGCTCACCAATGGTTTCCATCTTGTGGTGAACCCTCTGTATTCACTCTGGTGAAGTCTTCTCTTGATTGTTGACTTTGACACACATACACCTACCTCCTGGAGAGTGTTCATATCTGATCTGGCCAACTGTTGTGAAGGGTGTTTTCTTCACCAGGGAAAGAATTCTTCGGTCATCCACCACAGTTGTTTTCCGTGGTCTTCCGGGTCTCTTGGTGTTGCTGAGCTCACCGGTGCGTTCCTTCTTTTTAAGAATGTTCCAAACAGTTGTTTTGGCCATGCCTAATGTTTTTGCTATCTCTCTGATGGGTTTGTTTTGTTTTTTCAGCCTAATGATGGCTTGCTTCACTGATAGTGACAGCTCTTTGGATCTCATCTTGAGAGTTGACAGCAACAGATTCCAAATGCAAATAGCACACTTGAAATGAACGCTGGACCTTTTATCTGCTCATTGTAATTGGGATAATGAAGGAATAACACACACCTAGCCATGGAACAGCTAAGAAGCCAATTGTCCCATTACTTTTGGTCCCTTAAAAAGTGGGAGGCACATATGCAAACTGTTGTAATTCCTACACCGTTCACCTGATTTGGATGTAAATACCCTCAAATTAAAGCTGAGAGTCTGCAGTTAAATTACATCTTGTTCGTTTCATTTCAAATCCATTGTGGTGGTGTATAGAGCCAAAAATGTTAGAATTGTGTCGATGTCCCAATATTTATGGACCTGACTGTATGTAATGAGCATTCCTCCTGCTGATGATCAATGCACTAAGCATTTTTCCCATTGACCACTAATGTATAAATGATTTTTCCTCCTGATAGCTGATGAAATGAGCATTTTTCTCATTGACCACCAATGAGAGGAGATTCGCTGATGTAATGAAAATTTTTCCCACTGACCACAAACGTAAGGAGCATTCTTCCCCCTAATCACCAGTATGAGATGCATTCTCCCAATAACCAACAATGTAAGGTAGTCATTCTTCCACTGACCACCAATGTATGGGAACATTACAACTTTCACAATCTGATTCTTTTTTGGCCTTTATTATTGCCTATTTCATTTTATTACTGTCATATACAGGGAGAGTCAAATCGCAACATATGCCCATTCCTTTATTTACTAATTATTTTTTTTTTTTAGAGTTGAGTTCAACATACCATTTACGCTAATGTACTGTGAGCTGCAGTAATTTAGCAGGGGGTTCCGTAAGACCTGCAAGGGTAGTTCAAGGGTTCCTCAGTGTTAGAAAGGTTTAGGAAGGCTGCTCTAGAGGGCTGCTGGAATCGAAGAACTTGAGAATAGCATAGTACATGGAGATCAATCAAAAGAATATGAAAAGGAGGCCTGAGCCTCTTTCGGACTCATTTCAGATATGAAGGATATGAGTTTAGAGTGGAAAATACCTTACACTGCCCAGATGGAGGTCTCTTTGAACTTAGTATTTTGCAGCTTGTAAATGCATATATTTGTGAACAAAGATGATTACCAAAAAATTACATTGTAACCCTAAAACAAAATCTAAAACATAAAAAACACCCACATAGTGAATCATCGTTTTCAAGCAGTCTATCAAGGTAAACTGAGCCATCAATAAACCTCTACATCTGAAATGCTAGTTGGCTGGCTGTCAAGTTAATCCAATAGCTCTAAACCCTTTGAGGCACT